CTGCAACTGCTGAAGCCTGCACGCCTAGAGCCCGTGCTCTGCAACGAGAGAAGCCACCGCAATGAGAAGCCCGCACACCGCAACGAGTAGTAGCCCCCGCTTGCTGCAACTAGAGAAAGCCCACGTGCAGCAATGAAGACCCAACACAGCCAAAAGTTTTTTTAAAAAAAGAAAAATATATAATTTAAAATAATTTACATAGTAAACTCATTTTTAGTTTTTTTGCCTGTTTAAGACCCAATTAAATTTTTTAAATTAATTTTTCAAATGGTAAGTACATTGTTTCTCTACCTTTATCTGAAAATATCTGTATATTTTAATGATAAACATTCTAACACTGAAGACCTCAACAATGCAATTAACTAAGATGAGGAAAAAGAATATTTGATAGTGGGACAGCAATCCTTAATGAAATACTCAAGGTAAAATAGGAATAGAATGAAACTACTTAAATATAAAGACTGTTAATGCTTCCTGCTGATTTTTATAATCAGAGAAATATTGGAGCCAATTCCATTAAATAGTCAGGAATACCCAATGTCACAATTATTCAGCATTGTTTTGGAAGTTGTTACCTACGGCAATGAGAAGAAAAATAATAATTTGTAACATAAGTTGCACAGTTAATAAGAAAAAGACAACCCAATAAAAAAATAGGCAAAAGATATGAACAGATAATTCACAAAGGAGAAAATCCATATAATGAATCAAAATCCATATAATATACTCAACCACATCTGTAGTTGGAGAAATACAAGATTAAAACAAAAATCATTTCCCTTTATGAAAGATTGGTAAAAAAAAATAATAGTGGTACAATGAGCAGGGCTTTCTCAGGTGTTGTTGATTACGGTGTAAATGATAAAGCAATTTGGTAATATCTATTAGAATTATTTTAATACATAGGTAATCCAACTTTGGGGAGGAAAATTATGTAAACCCTTCTCTTAGGGATAAAAATATAAGAAGAAAGAATTTCCTCTTAAAAATGGAAATAATTGAAGTCCTAGCTTAATTTTGAAAGCTAAAGACTCAAATACATTTTGCTTTGACAGAATTTAGGTGTATTTTTTTTATCATCTCCTTAATAAGTCTTAATGTGTCCATGTTTCAGGTATTTCTCTTATATATAATATACAGCTGAATTTTTTCAATCCAATGTAATAAGCTCTGTAGTCTACTTTGTTTACATTTATTATCATTTCTGATTTATTTTCACTGTTTGTCATTACAGTTCTATTGCATTTACTTCCCATCTTATTCTGTGTTTTCTACTAACCATACTTCTTTGCTTTTATTTTCCTTTCCTCCCTTCTTTCACGTTGAATTTCCTTTTCATATGCATATTTAAATTTTCTTTCAGCAGATTTTTCCTGAATTAAAGTTTTTAGAATTTGTTCTGTTTCATTGCTTTTGGTTTTCTTCTTCAAGGACTTCTGCTATATGTATGTTAAATCACCTGTGCCTAATTTTTATATCCATCACTTTCTCCACATCATTTTTTTCTCTTTATTTGTTAATTTTCCTCCATCTTTAATTTCCCTTAAGAAGTTATCTATGGCATCTTATTTACTCTTGTGTTCCTTCTAATTTGTTCTTCATGTCTGAAATTATTTTTTAAGTTTTGTATTCTTTCCTGAGCTCGGCCAGCAATATTTTCATACCTTCCTATTATCTTCTCTAGTTCATTGGGAAATTTTCCCATTTCTCAGTTTTTCAAATTACGATGTTATTTTTTAATCTTTCCATTACTTCGTAATTTCTTTCATCTCATTTTATAATACATTCTGTTTTTATCTGTTTTATGGGCATATCTGTCTGGCATGCCTTTGTTGTCTATGACAACATTAGTTCAACTGCACTTTTCCTGTTTCTCCTCAGTATTTATTCCAGTAAATGGCATCTGCATCACTAGCTGTTCATGTCAGAATCCTGGAACTCATTCTTAACACCTTCTTTTACCTCATCTAATCACCAGTTAATCCAAGTCTACCTCTAAAATATATTTTACATGCTTTAAATTCCCAATTCCACTGTCAGTTCCCTAATTCAAGTCACCAACATCACTCATCTGAACTACTGCAATAGCCTGCTGCTCGTCTCTAAACATCTACTCTTGCCTCCTATACGAGTCAGGGTTTTTACTTGCAAACATCAAAATCTAACCTAGTTAGTTTACACAGAGAATATATTTATTAAAGTATATCAGCTCACAGACCCTCGAGGAGGGAAAGAGATTCAGGCTTTGCAGCTAAAAACAATGGCTGAATCATAATGTAGGAGCTTCCCCAGAAGAAGACATCCTAACAACGCTGCTCAGCACAGATCCCACAGCCATGCTGATGAAGCTAGGGGACTAGGTTCTGGGAGCTCTGACGGCTTTCTCGAGAATTTAGCCACTGACCTTGCTCCCTCACTAAAGTAAGTTTTGCTTACGTTGCTCACTTCCTCTTTTTGCTCAGTTCCTTATGAAGTTTCACATTGGAGGAGTGTACTGGCAGAGCCAGAAACACAAGCTCATGGCCTGGCTGCAAAGGTAGAGAGAACGAATGCATTTTGGCTTCTATCTAAAAGGAGAGGCTCAATGTGAGAAATTCTCCAAATGTAGAAGGGTCTGCAGGAAGTGAAGAGTGGTCACATACATGATAAATGTCCTCCACATCCATTCCAATTCATACTTCACACTGCAGCCAGCTCATTCTAAAATACACAGCTGATTATGTTATTAACTTACGTTAAATTAATTGTGGAAATTTAAAAACAGAAGTACAGATATACCAGGATAAGGAACCTCCATGTGTCTCCCACCCAACTTCAACAAATATTTTGCCAATCCTGTTACATCTCTCTTACTGACATCCTTCCCCCACTGGAGTATTTTGAGGCAAATCCCAGAAATCATATAATTTCTATCATAAACTCTTTAGTACCTTTAACAGATAAGGAGCTTTTAAAAGCATAACCAATAACACACATCTCAGAATTTACAGTAATTCCTTAATATTTAATGGTGAGTCCAGTTTCAAATTTCTCCAGTTACCTCAAAAATACCCTTTTACATTTGACTTAAAACAAGATCCAAAATAAGATCTATATAATGCATTTGACTTATATATCTGAAGTTTCTTTTCATCTATGACTGCTGATCTCTCAACTTTTATTTTTTCCACGGCATTTTTTTTTTTAATTTTAAGAAACTGGACCATTTGTCTATAGAATATATTATCTTCTGGGCTTAGATGATTACTTCCTAGAGGTGGCTTTTAGTTGTATCTTTCGTATTTCCTATAAACTGGTAGTTTACATCTACAGGCTTGATTAGATTCTGACTCAATGTTTTTTGGCAGGAACACTTACATAGGTGGTACTGAGTACTTGCTGCATCAAATCAGGAGGCACGTAACGCTTACCCACTTTTAATGATGTTAAGAGTGATCAGTGCGTTCAGGTGTTGGCTTCATCCAGCCTTTGGAAAGTTCCTCAATAATCTTCCACCTCACTAGTTTTATCATTCACTGATGAATGGTGCCCATATCTATAATATTATTTCACTAAAGGATGCTAGATGGGGGTTTTTCTAATTCTATTAGTCCCTTGTATTTATTAGCTTGGATTATTCTATAGGAGATAACTTTCCCTCATCAATATTTTATTACCCTGAAGTTTAGATACAGGAAAGGCAGAAGAGAAGCTTAAGTCTTTATTTCCTGGTTTTTAGAGTAAAGAGTTAAAGCCCTAGCAACCTCCAAAGGTGACCAGTGTGTTTCTTACTTTTAGTATCATTATGAACTCACAGATTTTCACACATTTGATGTGTTTAAATTGGCTGCAGATATTATTCTTCTCAATGCTTTAATTGTCCCATTTTTGGCTAGTATAAGTCCCTTTATTTGATTCCTGGGTCCTTTTGGCAAGACAAGCCACAAAATGGAGAATGCCTAAAAATAAAGTCAAACAGAGGTACACGATGAAATATATCACCTCACGCTTGTTAAAATGGCTATCAAAAAGATACAAATAACAACTGTTTGCAAGTATGTAGAGAAAGGGAACCCTCATGTCCTGTTGATAGGAATGTAAATTGGTGTAGCCACCATGGAAAACAGTATAGAGGGTCCTCAAAAAATTAAGAACTACCATGTGATCCAGGAATTCCACTTCTGGGTATATATCCAAAGAAGATGAAGGCAGGATCTCAAAGAGATATCTGCACTCTCATGTTCATTGCAGCATTATTCACAACAGCCAAGATACGATGCACAACCTAGATGTCCATCAACAGATGAATGGATAAGGAAAATGTAAGTAAGTGTGTGTGTATGAATATTATTCGGCCATAAGAAAGGAGACCCTGCCATTTGTGACAAGATGGATGGACCCTGAGGACATTATGCTAAGTGAAGTAAGTCAGAAAGAAAGGGACAAATACTATATGATATGACTTGTATGTGGAATCTAAAAGAGACAAACTATTAGAGGCAGAGAGTGGAATGACAGTTGCCAGTGGCTAGGCCGTGAAGGAAATGGGGAGATGTTGGTCAAAGAGTATAAACTTCCTGTTATAAGATGAATAAGTTCTAGGGATCTATTGTACAGCATGGTGATTATAGTTAATAACACTGTATTATATACTTAAAAGTTGCTAAGAGAGTAGATAGATCTTAAATGTTCACACCACGAAAAAAAAAACAGTAATTATGTGATATGATGGAGGTGTTACCTAATGCTATGGTGGTAATCATTTTGCAATACGTAAGTATCAAATCAATATGTTGTACACCTTAAACGTATACAATGTCATATGTCAATTATATGTCGATAAAGCTGGAAAAAAACAAACGACAAAGGGAAAAGATAACCATCTACAAACCAAGGAGAGGCCTCAGAAAAAAACCAACCCTGCTGACAACTTGATCTCAAGCCTTCTAGCTTCCAGAACTATGAAAAATAAATTTTTGTTATTCAAGCCACCCCCCCAAAAAAAGGTACAACAAACAACATAAAGTGCAAATTATAGTGTTTACTCTTAGATTTGAAATATTTATAACTTAGAGTAGGAAACATTTGGAAAAGTATTTAGAAATATTTTTGCATTTTTGGATAATACTGATTATCCATATAGATAGTTCTGTACTAGTCCCTTTTAGCAGCATTCAACTTATGTGAGGTAGTAAAGTGTACATAATGTGATTTAGCCAATTTCTAGTAAACTCGGTAAACTGTCAGATTACAGCTATTTTACCTCAGATTTATTAGCCTGCCTATATTGGGGCTGTCGGGCTTATCCAAATTTAAAATTCTGCAGTTCTGAGTAGCTATGCAGACACAGATTGAAAACTGTTGGGTCTTCCCTACCACTACTGAGAGAGAAAAAATAAATAAGGTAATAGTTTTTCTCTAGAATTTAAGGGAATTAGAAAATGCCAATAATTTTAACAGTTTGCTGTTCGGTATATGTATACAATAACACATATCTGGCTTATGTTTCTAAAGTGAATTATTTATTAGGACTTGAAAGAAAAAAGTAGTTATCTGTACTACAGGTAGCAAAATCCATCTTAATCTCTTAATCCTCTTTATTGCTCAAATATGAGCATTATTCATACACATCCATTAACTTAGGGGTTAATTAGTAAGATCCTGAACTAAAATAAGACGGAAAGTGTAGTATTAAAAATCATGACTTATAGAAGCTAAGGGAGGATGGCAGGCATGGTAAGTATAAAATTTAAGTCATGATTTTACTTCATAAGGAAAACTTTATAATAACAGAAAATGCATTTTTTAATAAATAAAAAGGAGATAGCTGTGAATAAAAGTACCTCTATTAGGTAAAAGATTTCTATAATTTCATTCTATTACAGGTAATTCATACAGAACTCTCCTTATGATTTCACTGCATATTCTCTTGTTATTTTAATGACGCCTCTGCAGTTTGACTTAAGAGTATAACTTCACATTTATAGACCACTGTCTATTCACTCATGACTTTATGCCACCCCCCAAAAAATGTCATATGAAGACTATTTCTTTTTTGAGATAAGGAAACTATGATCCAGAATTTTTATATTATCTTGCTATTCATAATTACACACAGAATTCCCTATTTTATTCAATATATGTTCTTGTTATTCAACATATGCAATATCTACAACCTGACTTTAGGAAACTGACTCTTAGCAATCATCTAGCAGAGCCTTAAAAGAGAAAGTTCCACACAGCAAGTACTTTCCACCACAGTCTTAGCTAGGTTATTCTTGAATCCTTCCATGCCTTACAGAAAAAGCAATGAGTCTTCTGTAAACCACACCCAGGAGTGTGATGGTGAGCACCACGATTCCACACACAAGGCTGAAAGCCCATCGTGGACCCCAGGCAGCGTACACTTGACTGATGAAGACAGGTCCAAGAATCCGTGCTGCACTTCCAGACGCTGTTAACCAGCCCATGTACATACCCTGTTGGGGGAGAAGCAAACTGATACTCTGGTGTAGTTATTTTAAAAGCAAGGATGATGCTAATATTACCAAACTATGACAAACACGAGAATCACTTCCTCCGTTATTTTTAAATTAAAGTACCTCTCTATAAATACAGCAAATAATGAGCAATAAACTTATCTGATATACTGTTTAGGAAAATAAAAGTGTAAAAGAACGAACACTGTCTGCTGAAATGATTCATAAATTTACTTTTTAAGGCTACCATTTACTCTGTACTTGCTATTTTCCAGACACTGTGTCAGGTGCTCTACATATATTGTTTCCAACGTTCACAAATTTCTATGATTGGTATTATCCCCACTTAACAAATGTGGAAGCTAAAGCTCAGAAAATTCAAGTAACTTATCCAAGAGATATGAAGCCCTGTTTGGCTGACTCCACTGTATTAATTTCCACTATACCACAATGTCACTGCTCCAACTACTGTATCCAAAACTATAGCCCATACAATATACCCAAGAACGTGCAATGCAGCATTACTTTTAATATCCTCCAATTGTAAATAACCTGTCAAGCGTGGATTAAGTAAATAAACTATGGTACATTTAATAAATAGAATGCTAAACAGTTGCTTAAAAGAATATGGTCTTATACAGAATAAGATCTTATAACAAGAATAACATCTCTATACACATTGACATGGAAAGAAGGCCACGGTATATTAAGGGGGAAAAAATCCAAGATGTAAAAAAAGTTTATATACATGAGATATAATTCATTTTATCTTTTTTTAAAAAGGCATGAGGGTGGATATGTTTGAAAAGGCATAAAAAATATCGTGACGTGTACAAATGAAGTAAACAGTGGTTGACTTTAGTGTGATGGAGGTAAGGAGAGCCTTCCTTTTCTGCTATATACATTTCAAATTACTTGAATTTTGTTACAACCATCATGTATTGTTTTTGTAATTAATATGCTTTTATTCTTGATTTTGAAAATGTGAAAATATAACTTTATAGATTAAAAAACCCAGAAATTACCAAAATGTTTTACCTATTATTATAGCTTTAATACACTGATGTTAAATTTTTTTTCTTTGCTTTATTTCAATAAACATTAATTTCTACCTTGAAAATGTAAAACTATCAATTTAATTTTTATAAAGAACAAGATACTATTTTCATTTTGTTGCCATTTAAATAACTGCTACTAAAAAGAAAAGTCAGAAGTAAAACCTGGAAATAAGCTAAATATATAATAATAGGAAAATGACTAAATAAATGATGGTACATACATAAGATGGAATATGTCTCCATTAAAAATAATTCCCTAAAAGAAAATTAAATGTCATGGGAGAATATTTACAGCGTATTGTTATATTTCTTTAAAAAAGCAGATTACAGGGACTTCCCTGGTAGCACAGTGGTTAAGAATCTGCCTGCCAATGCAGGGGACACGGGTTCGAGCCCTGGTCCCGGAAGATCCCACGTGCCGCGGAGCAACTAAGCCCATGCGCTGCAACTACAGAGCCTGCGCTCTAAAGCCTGTGAGCCACAACTACTGAGCCCACGTGCCTAGATCCCGTGCTCCACAACAGGAGAAGCCACCCAGTGAGAAGCCTGCACACCACAACCAAGAGTAGCCCCCGCTCTCAGCAACCAGAGAAAGCCCACGCAACAAAGACCCAACACAGCCAAAAACAAAACAAACAAATACAGAATGGTCACCAAAAATGTGAGTGCTTACAAGTATACCTCATGCAATTGCAGTGTCATGCTAGCTGACTCACCTGAGGTTTTGGCCCCAGAATTTTTGAATATAATGTATATGACATAACATTGCAGGATGGATAGCCTATTCCAATTAGCACAGCTGATGTGAGGAACTGGGCCAGATGGATCATGGGGGTGTAGAGGCACCAGGCTTGTTCAACTGGGCAACCAGTTGGTCCTTCATTGTGATCTTCTCTTGGAATCTTCCAAAGAGTAATAATTATTTCTCCAAATGTGGTATTAGGGATTGAATTATTATGTAAATCTGTAAGAACAAAATCAGTACAGTGTATTACTTGTTAATTTAAATGAATAACAGGGGCTAACATTATAGAATTATGTATAGCTATACCTTCCCACTGTATTTTGGGAAACTGATGTCCCCAAGGTAACAAGATAAAGAAGCCAACCCATATAACAATGAGTCCTCCCAGCAGAATAGCACGCTCGCCAACCCTGTTAAAGGAGAGAAACTGTAATTAAAAAATGAAAATTGTATTATAACATAGCTTCATTACTTTTAGAATTTTTAAGACTATAAATAAAATAATATCTTGATACTTTTAGTGATACACTAATTAAAACGAATGCAAAATATAATTTCCCACTAAAAGGAACCAGGACTCCTCTGAAAACTGGCTGATATCAGGTCTGGGACAGAAAATATATAAGATGAGCCTGGACATCTTATCATAACAGGAAGAACAAAAATTACCAGTGACTACTAGGTTATGATTACAAGGACTCAGAGGGAATTCCCTGGAGGTCCAGTGGTTAGGGCTGTGAGCTTCTACTGTAGGAGGCACGGGTTCAATCCCTGGTCGGGGAACTAAGATCCTGCAGACCTCACAGCGTGGCCCCCCACCAAAAAAAAGGCCTCAGAGCCAATGTGAGGAAGCTGGCTAAGAATATGACAACGTGAACACCAAAAAGAACAGTAATGACAATGGCTTGAAACACATCAAAATGTTATTTATAAATTCATACTATATTAAAATAAAATACTCTTGGTCATTTTTAGAGGATGTTAGGGAACCCACTCAGTATTTTAAAAATCAGTTAATAAAAGAAAAGGATCACCCTGTCTCTCCTACAAAAACTGTACCTCAGGATAACCAAATAGGTAGTGATGGAAAAGTTCTCCTTATAGAAAGTGTTCCAGCAAATAAATAAAGGAATGATAGAATTAAAATACCAGCATTTTGCACTGATCTATTAATAAATTAATGGATTTAAGGAATGGTCAATGGCCACTTACATCATAAAAAGAGATAAACAAAACTTTACATTTCTCCTGATGTAAGCACATACCACCACCTATAAAACATTCTTGCCAAAACACTGAACTCAAGTCTCATCAAGCTTCTAGATCTAAGTACCAATTTTCAAGAAATATAGTAAACACAGGAAAATATTAAAAAAACAAACAAAGACACCACAGGGATTTATTCAACAAGATCCAAAATGTGGGAAACTATAGGGCAAACATCTTGGTTGCTTCAATTTGTAAGGGAGAAAAAGAGAGAGATGGAAGAGATGGTAAAGAAACTTATAGATTAAAAGAGACTTAAGAAACGTAAGAGCCTGAGTCAAGTGAGTAAGCTGTGAAATAAAACAATATAAAACAAAACAAATTTTTTTAAAAATTTGAGACAGTGGAGAAAATTTGAATACTCCCTGGATATCTGATGATATTTAGAAATCACTGTTAATTTTTTTAGATGTGATAAATGCTGTCATCATTAACTTTCAGAGATACATACTGAAATATTTATGGAAGACATGAAATGATGTCTAACATCAGCTTCAAAATAATCCAGATGTAGGGGATAGGCAGTGTGGAGTAGGTGGCGGTATAGATGAATCAAGATTGTCCAAGGTTATAATTGTTGAAGCTAGGCAATAGATATTAAACATTCAGTACATGATTCTCTCTGTACCTTTGTATATGTTTGAAATTTTCCATAACAAACAATGAAATATACAGGGACTTCCCTGGTGGCGCAGTGGTTAGGAATCCGCCTGCCAACGCAGGGGACGCAGGTTCAATCCCTGGTCCAGGAGGATCCCACATGATGTGGAGCAGCTGAACCCGTGAGCCACAACTGCTGAGCCTGCGTGCCACAACTGCTGAGCCTGCGTGCCACAACTACTGAAGCCCATGCGCCTGGAGCCCTTGCTCCGCAACAGGAGAGGCCACTGCAATGAGAGGACCGCACACCGTGGCAAGGAGTGGCCCCCACTCGCTGCAACTGGAGAGAGCCTGCATGCAGTGACGAGGACCCAACGCAGCCAAGAATGAATGGATTAATTAATAAATTAATTTTTAAAATAAAATATGCAAACAAGATCAAAGATTCCTAAAACAAAACAAACAAACCCAACACCTCCCATTACCCTCAGAATACCTACAAGGCTTCACATCTTTCCAACCTGATCTTCTCCCATTTGCCATTTCTCTCATTCTTCTCTGGCCAAAATGGCCTTTCTGCTTGTTCCTTAAATGTACGAAGCACAGTCTTCTGGGGCAAGAGAGTTCCAGGCCACTGCATGGCTGTTCTCTGACTTCACTGAGGTCTCTGCTTGGATGTAACTTCCGTTTGAGCTGCCCTCCGTGAGCAGTCAATCAAAACAACACTTCCCTTCTCTCCCAACCCTGCCTTGCCACTTTTTATTCTCTTCCTCTGCTCTATTCTTCATAGTACTTCCCATGACCTGATTTCACATTTGTGTTTATTAGCTTTTCCCCCAGTAGAATACAAGCTCTTTGAAGGACATGAAATTGGATCATCTGTAAGAATGCCTATCAGCAGGACCACTCTACTTCTGTAGCAAGATGTAATGCATGTACTATTATTTAACTTTGAATATGAATCTATGTCTATGTCTATATCTTGGCCCCTCTACTTGGCTCTATAAGGATAGGAATCTTCGTAGTATTCCCCATAACACCTAACCCTACGCACTGACTCAATATTTGTTAATTGATTTTAGAACTTTATTAAAGTTCTAAAGTATTGTTAAAATATTTTAGGAATAATTAAATCATTAGAACTGTCTAAATTTATCAACTAATGTTCCACTCCAGACTATATGAATGAACTTAATTTTATACAAGTATTTTTTTAGTGTGCTCTTTACAGTTATACTTTTACAAAATGCTTCTTTAAAAAAGTGTTCTGTGATCAAAGTTACAAAAAACTTTGCGAAATGCTACGTACTCTTGTCATGAAGGTGATACAGTATATATACTGAAGATTTAGAAGTTTTAGAGTAAAGAAGTTTGGTGATTTTAACCAGAATTTTCCACACTTAACCATTAATCTTTCACAGCAGAACAATGTTTTATGAAATACGCTTATAGAAATACTTTAAATAAAACATAATATACAAAAGATACATTAAAAGACAATTATTCACTTTGTAAAATATCTTGCTTTACCAAAGAATATACTACATGGTACAGAAATATGCTCCCTTAATAAATTTTAAATCTGTTTGCAAACATTCAAGGACTAAAACTCATGCATAATGACAGAAAAGCTTTATATTACTTTACTAATATATTCATTTACATCATTAGCTCTGTTTCATGTTTCACTTTAAAAAAAAAAAGACTTGAAATAAAACCAAAGACAAATAACCTACTTTTTGGAAAGTAATTTTATCCCCATGAAAATAATAACTGCCTCAACTCCAAGAGCAGCAAGTATTATGCCATCATATAACACAGCTTGTTCTCTGGTCCAGGCATACATATCCATTGTTAATGGAGTAACAATGCTAAGAAAAATAAAAAAGAAATTATTCTTCTTTTATTTCAATCATAGGCATTGTTATTTAAAGTTGAAATAGTAAGATTTAATAATGATACCAACACATTCAAGAATCTGCATCCCTTTTAACAATGACACCAGATCTACAGAAACAGAAATTTTAAGACATTTTAAGTACATTTTGTTGTAACATGCACAAGCTACTAAGTTTGGCTGTTTGCATTTTTATTTTTTAATATTTACTGTAATTATATAAGTAACATGTCCAACACTGCAAAAAGTTTGAAAAACAGGAAAAGGAAACAAACCAACCATAATTCCTACCATTCTAATATAATTAAAAAATCATGGTTGTGTTTTGATTTAAACTGGTCTCTTTTCAATGAAATAATGTTACTATGATTAAGTTATTAACTTACTATGATTAAGTTATTAGAAACTTCTGGGATTTTTTTTTCTCTTCCTCTGTCTCTTTCATACCTATCTTTGAATGTACATATTTTTCTCCCTACCTCCGAATGCTGCTCTTCCTTTATATGACTATCTGTCTCCTTCCTTGCCAAGCTTCTTTTCCTACTTTCTGTCTCCTTCTGTTAACTGGCTAAAAAAGGAATTTCAAAATATTCAAAATATTCATTCTTTTAAAAAAAATCACCATCTTTAATTTTAAAATCAGATGAGCTGCTTTGGAAGATAGTTCACTCATTTCTCAATAAGTGAAACATAGAATTATCATATGATCCACTTCCTGGTATATACCCAAAAGAACTGAAAGCAGGGACTCAGATACTTGTACACTAATGTTCATAGTAGCATTATTTACAATAGCCAAAAGATGGAAATAACCCACATTTCCACTGACGGATGAATGGATAAACAAAATTGGTATATAAATAACAGTGGAATATTATTCAGCCATAAAAAGGTATAAAATTCTGACACATGCTACAACATGGATGAACCTTGAAAACATCATGCCAAGTGAAACATACAAGACAAAAAATGACAAAAGATGCATGATTCCACTCATATGAAGTACCTAAAATAGGCAAATTCATAAAGAAAGAAAGGCGAATAGAGGAAACCAGGGGCTGGGTGAGGGGGAATGGGACTTAGTGATAAATGGGTGTAGCACTTCTGTTTGGGATGATAAAAAGGTTCTGGAAACGGGTGGTGGTAATGGTTGCACAACACTGTGAATGTATTTAATGCCACTGAATTGTGCAATTAAAAGTAATTAAAATGGTACACCTGAAACAAATACATTATTATATACAAATCTGGCCTCAATAAAAACAAAAGAAAATATGGCAGAAAAGCTCTAAGAATCATAGCAGACTACAAGTTTAATCCATGTCCAATAACATGGTTCAAAAATGGGAAATAAATATACAAGAGAATAAATTATATCCTTTAAATTGAAAAAAGAAGTTAAAATAGTAAGTTTATGTTATGTATATTTACCATAATAAAATAAATACCCCCAAAATCAGATGAGCTAAAAATTCCATGTATCTCAATAATTAAAAAAAAAAAATCAAGTATATCTGGCATAAAATGTACTGGCATAAAAATGTTACAATATATCAAAAAGTGAAAAAAACAAGTTGTCAAATGATAATATCACATATTCTTGTTGGTTTAAAGACACACACACAGACACACCCCTTAATACTTACAGTTGTATAGAAAAAAATGTTTCAAAACAACACACACTGAAGTATTAGCAGTGGTTACCTCCAGGGAAAGAAGTGGATGTGGAAATACAGTTGTAGTGTTTGGAATATTTACAAGAATATACTATTTTAATAATGGAAAGGTATTTTAAAAATTAAAAAGCCATATGACAAGGGACGTCCCTGGTGGTCCAGTGGGTAGAACTCTGCATACCCAACGCAGGGGGCCCGGGTTCAATCCCTGGTTAGGGAACTAGATCCCGCAAGCATGCTGCAACTTTTAAGAGTTCTCATGCTGCAACTAAGAGTGCACATGTCGCAACTAAGAAGTCCACATGCTGCATCTAAAAAGATCCCACATGCTGCAACTAAGACCCAGTACGACTAAAATAAATAAATAAATAAATAAATATTTTTAAAAATAAATATATTTTTTTAAAAGTCATATGGTAACTAACAGTCAAAAAAGCCTACATGAGGCAGAGATTTTGTAATATACTAGCTTTCTTCAGGATCAGAGCTTAAACAGAGTTAAAATTTCTAGACTGAACCCAACATATATAAGTAGGGTGCTGCAGGACAGAAGGGAGTGGCAGGATATATTTAAAGTGATGAAAGGGAAAAACTTACAACCAAGATTACTCTACCCAGCAAGGATCTCATTCAGATTCAACAGAGAAATCAAAAGCTTTACAGACAAGCAAAAGCTAAGAGAATTCAACACCACCAAACCAGCTCTACAACAAATTCTAAAGAAACTTCTCTAGGAGGGAAACACAAGAGGAGAAAAAGACCCACAAAAACAAACCCAAAACAATTAAGAAAATGGTAATAGGAGCATACATATCGATAATTACCTTGAATGTAAATGGATTAAATGCTCCAACCAAAAGACAAAGACTGGCTGAATGGATACAAAAACAAGACCCATATATAAGCTGTCTACAAGAGGCCCACTTCAGGGATTTTCCTGGTGGCACAATGGTTAAGAATCTGCCTGCCAACACAGGGGACAGGGGTTCGATCCCTGGTCTGGGAAGATCCCACATATTGCTAAGCAACTAAGCCCGTGACCCACAACTACTGAGCCTGCACTCTAAAGCCCGCAAGTCACAACTACTGAGCCCGCATGCCACAACTACTGAGGCCCGTGTGCCTAGAGCCCGTGCTCCACAACAAGAGAAGCCACTGCAATGAGAAGCCCACACACCACAATGAAGAATAGCCCTCGCTCGCCACAACTAGAGAAAGCCCACACGCAGCAACAAAGACCCAACACAGCCAAAAATAAATTAATTAATTAAAATAATAAAAAAGAGGAGACCCACTTGAGACCTAGGGACACATACAGACTGAAAGTGAGGAGACAGAAAAAGATGTGCCATGCAAATGGAAATCAAAAGAAAGCTGGAGTAGCAATACTCATATCAGATAAAATAGACTTTAAAATAAAGACTGTTAAAAGAGATAAGGAAGGACACTACATAATGATCAATGGATCAATCCAAGAAGAGGATATAACAATTAAAAATATTTATGCACCCAGCATAGGAGCACCTCAATACATAAGGCAAATGCTAACAGCCATAAAACGGGAAATCGACAGTAACACAATAATAGTGGGGGACTTTAACACCCCACTTACACCAATAAACAGATCATCCAGACAGAAAATAAATAAGGAAATACAAGCTTTAAATGACACAACAGACCAGATAGATTTAATTGATATTTATAGGACAGTCCACCCGAAAGCGGCAGAATACACTTTCTTCTCAAGTGCACATGGAACATTCTCCAGGATAGATCACATCTTGGATCACAAATCAAGCCTCGGAAAATTTAAGAAAACTGAAATCATATCAAGCATCTTTTCCAACCACAATGCTATGTGATTAGAAATCAATTACAGGAAAAAAAACTGTAAAAAACACAAACACATGGAGGGTAAACAATACACTACTAAATGACCAAGAGATCACTGAAGAAATCAAAGAGGAAATTTTAAAAAATACATAGAAACAAATGACAATGAAAACATGACAACCCAAAACTCATGGGATGCAGCAAATGCAGTTCTAAGACGGAAGTTTATAGTAATTCAATCACCTCAGGAAACAAGAAAAATCTCAAATACACAATCTAAACTTACACCTAAAGCAACTAGAGAAAGAAGAACAAAAAACACCAAAGTTAGTAGAAAGAAAGAAATCATAAAGATCAGAATAGAAATAAATGAAATAGAAATGAAGAAAACAATAGCAAAGATCAATAAAACTAAAAGTTGGTTCTTTGAGAACAGAAACAAAATTGATAAACCTTTAGCCGGACTCAGCAAGAAAAAAGGGAGAGTATTCAAATCAGTAACATTAGAAATGAAAAAGGAGAAATTACAACTCACACCGCAGAAATACAATGGCTCAGAAGAGACTACTTCAAGCAACTATATGCCAATAAAATGGACAACCTGGAAGAAATGGACAAATTCATAGAAAGGTACAACATTCCAAGACTGATTCAAGAAGAATTAAAAAATATAAACAGATGAATCACAAGTAATGAAATTCAAACTGTAATTATAAAGCTTGCAGCAAATAAAAGTCCAGAACCAGATGGCTTCACAGGCAAATTCTATCAAACATTTAGAGAAGAGCTAACACCTATCCTTCTCAAACTCTTCCAAAAAATTGCAGAGGAAGGAACACTCCCAAACTCGTTCTACGTGGCCACCATCACCCTGATACTGAAACCAGACAAAGATAACACCAAAAAAGGAAATTACAGACCAATATCACTGATGAACATAGACGCAAAAATCCTAAACAAAACTCTAGCAAACAGAAACCAACAACACATTAAAAGGATCACACACCATGATCAAGTGGGATTTATCCCAGGGATGCAAGGATTCTTCAATATATGAAATCAATCAATGTGATACACCATATTAACAAATTAAAGAATAAAAACCATATGATCATATCTCAATAGATGCAGAAAAAGCTTTTGACGAAATTCAACACCCATTTATGATAAAAACTCTCCAGAAAGTGGGCATAGAGGGAACCTACCTCAACATAATAAAGGCCATATATGACAAACCCACAGCAAACATCATTCTCAATGGTGAAAAACAAAGCATTTCCTCTAAGATCAGGAACAAGACAAGGATGTCCACTCTCACCACTAATATTCATCATAGTTTTGGAAGTCCTAGCCACGGCAATCAGAGAACAAAAAGAAATAAAAGCAATACAAATTGGAAAAGAAGTAAAACTGTCACCGTTTGCAGATGACATGATACTATACATAGGTAATCCTAAAGATTCCACCAGAAAACTACTAGAGCTAATCAATGAATTTGGTAAAGTTGCAGGATAAAAATTAAAGCAGAGAAATCTCTTACATTCCTATACACTAAGAACGAAAAATCAGAAAGAGAAATTAAGGAAACAATCTCATTTATCATTGCAACAAAAAAGAATAAGATACCGAGGAATCAACCTACCTAAGGAGGCAAAAGACCTGTACTCAGAAAACTATAAAACACTGATGAAAGAAATCAAAGATGACACAACAGATGGAGAGATATACCATGTTCTTGGATGTGAAGAATCAACCCTGTAAAAATGACTATACTACCCAAAGCAATCTACAGATTCAACACATTCCCTATCAAATTACCAATGGCATTTTTCACAGAATTAGAACAAAAAATTTTACAATTTATATGGAAACATAAAAGACCCCGAATAGCCAAAGCAATCTTGAGAAAGAAAAATGGAGCTGGAGGAATCAGGCTCCCTGACTTCAGACTATACTACAAAGCTACAGTAATCAAGACAGTATGGTACTGGCACAAAAACAGAAAAATAGATCAATGGAACAGGATAGAAAGCCCAGAGATAAACCCACACACCTATGGTCACCTAATCTATGACAAATGAGGCAAGAATATACAAGGGTGAAAAGACAGTCTCTTCAATAAGTGGTGCTGGGTAAATGGAATCTCTACAAGTAAAAGAACAAAATTAGAACATTCTCTGACACTATACACAAAAATAAACTCAAAATGGATTAAAAACCTAAATATAAGACCAGACACTATAAAATTCTTAGAGGAAAACATAGAACACTCTCTGACATAAATCACAGCAATATCTTTTTGGATCCACCTCCTAGGGTAATGAAAATAAAAACAAAAATAAACAAATGAGACCTAATTAAATTTAAAAGGTTTTGCACAGCAAAGGAAACCATAAACAAAATGAAAAGACAACCCACAGAATGGGAGAAAATATTTGCAAACGAAGTGACGACCAACAAGGGATTAGTCTCCAAAATATACAAACAGCTCATGCAGCTCAATATCAAAAAAAAAAAAAAAAAAACCCAATCAAAAAATGGGAAGAAGATCTAAATAGACATTTCTCCAAAGAAGACATATAGATGGCCAAGAGGCACTTGAAAAGATGCTCAACATCACTAATCATTAGAGAAATGCATATCAAAACTACAATGAGGTATCACCTCACACTGGTCAGAATGGCCATCATCAAAAAATCTACAAACAATAAATGCTGGAAAGGGTGTGGAGAAAAGGGAACCCTCTTGCACTGTTGGTGGGAATGTAAATTGATACAGCCACTATGGAGAACAGTATGGACGTTCATTAAAAAACTAAAAATAGAGCTACCATATGACACTGCAGTCCCACTCCTGGGCATGTATCTGGAGAAAACCATAATTCAAAGAGACACATGTACCCCAGTGTTCACTGCAGCACTATTTACAATAGCCAGGACATGGAAACAACCTAAATGTTCATCAACAGATGAAAGGATAAAGAAGATGTGGTACATATATACAATGGAATATTACTCAGCCATAAAAAATTGGGTCATTTGTAGAGATGTGGTTGGACACAGAGTATGTCATACAGAGTAAAGTAAGTCAGAAAGGTAAAAACAAATATAGTATATTAACGCATATATGTGGAATCTAGAAAAATGGTACAGATGAACGTATCTTCAGGGCAGGAACTGAGACGCACATGTAGAGAACGGATATGTGGACACGGTGGGGAAGGGGAGGGTGGGATGAATTGGGAGATTAGGATTGACATATATATGCGACCATGTGTAAAACAGATAGCTAGTGGAACCTGCAGTATATAGCACAGGGAGCTCAGCTCAATGCTCTGTGATGATCTAGGTGGGTGGGATCGTGGGGGAAGTGGGAGGGATGCCCCAGAGGGAGGGGATGTATGCATACATACAGCTGATTCACTTCGTTGTACAGCAAAAACTAACACAATACTGTAAAGCAACTATACTCCAATTAAAAATCAAAAAAAGCCATATGATAACTAATGGTCAACAAAGCCTACACAAGGCAGAGATTCTGCAATATACTAAGTTTTTTCAGGATCAGGGCTTAAACAGAGTTAAAATTTCTAGACTGAACCCAACATACATATGTAGGGAGCTATATAGCTTAAAGTAAATTAAATTAATACACAAAGTTTTATAAGCATATTTATTATAAAACTCAGAAGAAAGGGAGAAAGACTAGTGAAACTCCCTTATAAGGAAGGAAGATAAGGCAGTAAGATTACAGGCAGAGAATTAACTACATTCAAGTTAAAGGCAAAAACTTTATATATGCTTTTTACATCATGATAAGAAAAATATGCCTTACATAAGGATTTTGAGAACATCTATATTCCTGATTAATATTGCATTAAGAAATACAGGTTATTTACACAATCAGATTTAGATGAAAACAGAAAATAACTTACGTTTCAAAAAGGGCAAAGATAAACAGAATCACAAAAAACAGAACATTGGTGGCCACAACAGCAACTTGATCAATATTTCCTTGGGGGATCTGAACTTCATCTGTACTTGCTGTAGTAAACAGAAGAAAAATTATATTACCTACACAACTAATTTTTCTTATGACACTAAAACAGTGTAAAATTATATGTAGCAAATTCAATGACTAAACATTTAAAATCATTTTTTAAGCTTTCAAAGCAATTTAAAAATTAACAATTTACATAACAGAAATAACTTTTAAATGGCATTTAAAATTAAAGTGAATTTTCTTCCCAGGACATACACTTCAATTCTGTTACCTACAGAAAATACTCAGATTTTCTATTTGGCGTCTCTCAATCAAAAACAGAAATGTATGTCCATAGAATTCTATAAAATGATCTCATACTAAATACTAAATTTGCTTTAAATTTCAGTTGCAGATTTTTTTCTACCTTACCTAAATTTTAAAGTTACACGGATCTCATGAAGACCTCAAATAGTTTATTAAATAAGTTCTCAGTTCTATGATTCACCTCAATGGATATATATTTTGAATTTCAACAGTACATAGAATTACTATTAGTAAATATCCTTATTTTTTAACCACAATTTTTTTAAGTTCTTACATTATCATTTATATGTTTTGCAAAGAACTACCAAGATTTGATGGTGGTTTTATAAATTAGGAAGGCAAATGAGTTAAGATGTTCACTTATCTTGAACTATATAGTTAAGTAACACACTCAATATAAGCTACATCTGATGTAATTGAGAAATGTGAAGCCATATATATTGATACATGTATGTATACACATCCATCATGCTACTTTATAATTTACCCACTTATTCAGAGTAAACCAGGTAAGTAATACAAGAATGTATTTATGTTATCTTTAAGTGTATGTGTGGCAGAAATGGGGGCAGGGGGTAATTTTCCTAAGACACATAAATTTCTATAATTTTTTCATAATAGTGCCTGACTTTATATCTCAGGATTCCTGAGGAGGAGTTCTTCCTCCAATAATAAGTGAGATTTGAAAACAGTCTGCTATACTTGGGGGCAATTAAGCACCTTGGACACTTGCAATAGGGTTATGACCTCCCTTTCACACAAAGAAAAGCAGTCACACTTTTGTCCAGTTCCTTTTCTGGGGTAGACTCTGGTCCCTGTGGGCCTCAAATTATTTTGGATAGACCTCCCTGATTCTCAGTCACCATCTAGAAGCCAGTCTTTACTCCTTTGAATCAAATATCAACATTGCCCCAAGTGAAACTGGAGTTTACTTTTCTGCAGCCTCCAACCAGTGCTAGCTTTAGTGGGGAGACTCAGAAATGTTGCATCCTAAACTGTGGGAACTGACTAGGTATCCTAATTATAAGAATTTTAAGAAAACACTGCATATTGATTAAAAAACTGTAATTGGAAATTAAATCCTATCCCATGATAACATCTTTAATAATAGGAACAACTTGATGTTTTATCTAAACATTTATTGAAATTTAAAAATGATCTTTGTTTTGTAAAAATTATTTTGAAGGACCTAGAAATCTTATGAAAGAAAATAGATCTCTCCTTTTTAAACTCCGATTTGTGCTTTAGAGCAGTGTTGTCCAATAGAACTCTGACGTGATGGAAATGTTCTTTCTCTCTACTGTCCAGTACAGCTGGCTGTTAGTCACATATACCCATTAACTAAACACTTGACATGTAGTTAGTGTGGGAGTTCCCTGGAGGTCCAGTGGCTAGGACTCAGCGCTTTCACTGATGTGGCCCGGGTTCAATCCCTGGTTAGGGAACTAAGATCCTGCAAGCCACGCCACACAGCCAAAAAAAAAAAAAAAAAAAAAAAAAAAAATGTAGCTAGTGAGATAGTGAGAATGAGGAATTTCTTAAATGTAATTAAGTTTAAACAGCCAAATATGACTAGTGGCTACCACATCTGACAATGTACCTGTATGTCTTTGCTACTCAAAGTGTGGTTCATAGACCAGCAGAATCAGTTCCCAAAGGAGCTTGTTATAAATGTAGATTCTTCCTCTCCAGGCCTACTGAAACAGACTCTGCATTTTAACAAGGTTCCCAGGTGTTTTCTAAGCATATTAAAGTCAATAAAGCAAGGATCTACATGGTTATCCCCTTCAACTTATGAAAGATTTCTTGTGCATCTTCCCTTTCTCAGCCCCTCAACCTCACCCCCTTTAACTTGCTCATTCTCTTTACCTTTAAAGAGGTAGAGAGATAGGTCCTTTAAGTTAGCATCCTATCTTACACCTTTTCAAAACAGTAGCTTAAACCCACTGACGGCACTTCCTCACCACTCATTGTTTCTTTTTTTCTTTCTTTTTATTTTGAAAACTTTCAAACACATCCTTATCCATCTATGCCCTAGATTCAACAATATTTTGCCACATTTGATTCATCTACCCCTTCCTTTCCTCCTTTCTCTCACTCTCTCTTTGTTGCTGTAGTGTTTTTCACTAGATGATTCCCAAATTTCTATCTCTAGCTTTGATCTCTACTGCCAGAATTACAGATGCCTCTGGAATTTTTTAGTTGTTCTAGGGTAGCATTATATTTGGTTTAAACCAAATTGAAATCACCTTATCTTTTCAGCCTTATCTTTTCACCCTTCTTAAATTCTCCTTCTCTCATTCTTTCAATTATCTAGAATCAAAACCCAGCAGACATCTTCAACAACCCCCTCCATTCCTTAATGTTCCCTATCCAACCTGTCAGAATCTTTTCTTTTTTCCTTCAGAAGCTCATACCTCATCCCTTCTCCATTCTCAGTTACTGCTGTAGTTCAGGCCTTTACATATCTGGATTAGCCTCACTTGCAATCTATCGTCATACTTCTCCTTTGTTCAAAATTTGCTATAGCTCCTCACCACTCTGCTCTCCACCCGACTACTTTTAACTTTATCTTCCACCAGTTTTGTTGTAAAAATTAAATAAAATGTCTATCAAAGAACTTGGTAAAATTAACAGGGTCTTTTCCAAAACTTTATAAACTCCTTGAGGACAAGGACTAAATTGCATTCTTTTGCATGGGGGGACAATCCTCAAAGAGGACATAACTAGGAATACTTAAATAATGGTTTATTTAGTAAAATATACCTACTTATAAGACTGGGTACCTATTTATAAGTCAGAGAAAGATATGAAGGATGAAAATGGGTATTTGTAGAGTATACCAAAAGAATAAAAATACAAAAGAGAAACCATACTTATTCCCATGATTAAGTGAATAAAGAAATACTTGAAACAGAAAGAAACATTTGGTAGCAATAATACTGAAATCATTCCAAAGATCTCAAGGATTTTAGGATATTGGCTTTTTGAAAACAAGATGAAGTGATTTTTAGCAATGGTCTTAACCTTACCAATTGTGCACACCAAGTCACTGACATAGGCATGCCTTTAAAAAAAATCAACTTAGCTAACTTCCAACTTTGAAGATCTTCCCCAATTACCCATTGTACTGTCATCAGAGACAAAATTCAAGTGAATATCAAAGAGACAGAATCATTAGAAACACTTTGTAATATTATAGTAATTTAGTCAAACAGGTCAATAGTACCTTCTTCAAAATTAATATTTTTACACTGTCGTCCTGAGTCATCCACACGATGTTCTCTTAAAAGAAAAACATAAATATTGTATCCATGAAAGGCTTAGTATAATAGATAATAGTTTAAATTTATTACTAGCTTTCTATTTTTTCACATTCTGGTATAGTTTCTTTTACTGTCTTCTGAGTAATGAAATTATTATGATATATAACTGATAAAATTTTTAAAATACAAGTTACAATTATTATTAATTATCATATAAAATGAAAAAACCCTCAATTCATCCAAGAGCACACATGAGCTGCCTTAATCAGTATTTGAAGTTTTCCAATGATTTTTAACATGAGTTATAAACATTTTGGACTCTTGGATAAAACACTCCAAAGAAATATAAAGTAACAAAACTTCTGCAGTTTTATAAATTTTTTTCTAATATATAAAAGATAAGAGATACACATTATAAGTAACTTTTGTATCTAAGGTTGAACCTAATCATTAATCTACTTAAAATGTTGCTTTCATGCCATTTCCCCTACTTAGAAATCTATCATTAGTAGACCAAGACCAAACCTTGAATCTTTAAAGACCTTATAATCTGTTCTTATTCATCATCTATTATTTTAGTTGTCAGTACCACATGCGTTAGCTGATAAGAAAATATGGACACAACTAGACATCAAAAACCAAATAAAGACATCATAGAAATAATAATTCTCCAACAATGATAATGCTTATTTAATTTCACAATCTACAAGAGTAGTTTTATCATTTCTATCTAATTACCTTAATACAGTAAGAATCAGAATAATATTTAAAATTCCCAGGAAGGCGCCAAGTAAAACTGGTGCTGTGTACATGTTTATCTGCAGCTTAATGGTATCCCATGTCACGCCCTTTTCTCCAATGAGTGCGAAACAAGTCTGAAAAACTTATTAAAATAAAATGTATACAGATTAATTATTATATGGGAGGCACAGGCTAAAATAAATGTGAGAAATATTTACCATAGAATTGGAAGTAATATATGGAATCATCCATCTGCATCAGACATCTCAACAGGGGCAAGAAAATTGGCTCTTGGTGGGGAGAGGCAAAACATTTACTCTTTTTCTGTATAAAGCACAGATATGCATACAGTACATAAAACACATACAATATAGGTCTGTGGCATTAAAATTTCATGGGATGGAGTGATTAGGAAAGAAATGTCTAAAAAGCCTCCTTAGGGAGACAATAACATAAAAAATGGGTGAGAAGCACTGATGTACAGGCATGCCTAACATAACTTGTCAGTATTTTCTTTTTTTAAAATACATCTCTGTATGAAATTTAAGTTATACAATTTCTTCCATAAGTAAATTATTAAAGTTTAATCAATTTCATTATAAGAAACTGTCACTTTTTTTTTTTTTTTTTGCAGTACGCGGGCCTCTTACTGTTGTGGCCTCTCCCGTTGCGGAGCACAGGCTCCAGACACGCAGGCTCAGCAGCCATGGCTCACGGGCCCAGCCGCTCCGCGGCATGTGGGATCTTCCCAGACCGGGACACGAACCCGTGTCCCCTGCATCGGCAGGCGGACTGTCAACCACTGCACCACCAGGGAAGCCCGAAACTGTCACATTTTAACTCAATATTTTAAAATATTACTGTGTATATGGTACTTAAATTATATATATTTAATACCACTTTCAATTTGGATCTGTGGCAAAAATCAGATTGGGTAAGTATTGGTTTGCTCTCCTGATTTATATTCTATATCTCGTTCTGCCAGGACTTTACATGTAACCTTAGAGTGAGGATTAAGTAAAATACTGCACCTAAAGCACTTAGAACAGCATCTAGCATATGGTTAGCACTCAATGTTTGTGCTTATTGATGTGGTTATTATTGGAAAAGTCATCTAATCTTTTCAGGCCTACATTTACTCATCTTCAATATAAAATGTTTTAGTGAATAATCTTTTTTTAAAAATTTTATTTACTTATTTATTTTTGGCTGCGTTGGGTCTTCATTGCTGCCAGCGGGCTTTCTCTAATTGAGGCGAGCGTGGGCTTCTCATTGCGGTGGCTTCTCTTGTTGAGGAGCACGGGCTCCAGGGGCACAGGCTTCAGTAGTTGTAGCACACGGGCTTAGTTGCTCTGCAGCATGTGGGATCTTCCCAGACCAGGGCTCAAACCCGTGTCCCCTGCGTTGGCAGGCAGATTCTTAACCACTGCACCACCAGGGAAGCCCCGTGAATAATCTTTAAAATAGATGGCCAAAATATTTACTGAGAACCTAAGCCTATACCAGGTACTGTGCTAGAAACTGAGGGTAGAGTGGTAAGCTTAAAAAGACCCAGACTATGCCCTCATGCATATAGTAAGGCAATAGGTTCAATTGTTCTAGATTTCTGCTTATATTTTATTCCAGAACACTGAACTAAAATACCAGATTCTGGTGAATGATGAATTAGGCTTTCTTCTGTTGAAGCAAAGTAATGGCAACTGGAGGTTGGGGTGTTAATGATGAAGTAAACTGAGCTGGATTCAAATTGATTCTATTTATAACTGCAATATTAAAAGCATGGGCCAATTATATGGCTTTTCAAAGTTATGCTAGGCATAAAAAATTAATTTCTCTACTCATTTAGCAGAAAATTAATTGGCCTTAGGGAAATATTAAATCTCATTAATATATTTTTATATTCATTAAACTATGAAAGCTTGGAAAGAAGAAGAGACTAGTAAATCTTTTTTAAACTCTTTCATTTTCTTCAACCTTAGAAAAGTCTTAAAGGTATGGGCAAAAAGGGGAAAAAAACTCCTATAACTTTCCTCAAATCCTTCAATTAAAAGAATTTTGTTTCTCATAAACAGGAAAAAAAAAGCAAACTCTTGCTGAGATGTCAAGCGAAATGATTATCTGACAGAACGTATACTTTGGAATCAGACAGTGAGGTTTGAATCTCATATTTCCCATTTAATATCAGGGTGACCCTGGATAAGTTACTTAGATTCTCTATGCCTTGGTGTCCTAATCTGTACAGTGGGACTAATAACATTTAATTTAGGGAACATGAGTTAACACATATAAAGAGCCTAGCCTCACTGCTAGATCAAAAAATATCAGTTTCTCTCCCTTTGCCTTCAGCTATGAGGTTTTATACTTGAATTGCATCTAACATTTGAACCTCAAAAGTTTTCCCAACTCAAATCCAAGTAATGATAAGTGAAGAACACCTACCTGGACCTAGAATAAAACCTAATGCTTGACATGCACTTGTGTTTGCCATGGAACTTGTTCTTTCCTGAAGAGAGGTAGCACCAGCAATATATGATCTAATAACAGCTACATTTCCTAAGAAAAGACACAATAATACAAAGTAAAAGAAAATATTCTCCAGTTTATAAAAATTCGACTTAATTTGGCTCTATACAGAAGAAGAAATATTAACCTACAACATAGTTACTGCTTCCTCTTTATGATTATACAAGGCATGTATAGCGAACAAATGAATCAATTAATGGAAAATATTACTTTTAGTATTGTGAAAACACAATTAAAGATGTGAATGAATGAAAAAATGGCATACAGGAAACTTAAACTTTTTTCATCATTAAATACCGAGAAAGCATTGAGTGAATGGAGTCCTACTAATTGCTACATTGTTTTCAAAGAAATATGCTACATACTCTGCATGTTTATAAAAAAAAAATCCTAAAAATTTGAGTCAAAAAAATTTGCTGAGCATTTATGTTGAAGAGACTCTGCTAGGGGCTAGAGAATATTTTCAAAAGTCAGAGATTGTCTCTAATTACACTAAGTTTACTAGCTAGTTGGTGATAAGGGATGAAAACAGTGCAAAACAGTATATAAGCAAATGCCAGAGACATGTTGGAGAAGCAGTAGTGTAGCCTAAGAAAGCTTCATGGAAGAGGTGGAACTTGAACTGAATCTTGAAGGATGAAGAATCATGGGAACAGAAGAGAGAAACTATAGGTAATGGGAACATCATGAGCAAAGGCAAAATGATAGGAAAGATATTTGCAATGAGACATCTGTATGTTGAATGTCGTATAGGAGATTGAGAAGAGGTGACCCTAGATGAGAGAAGGCCATAAATGTCAGGATGAATGTGAGTCCAACACAACCAAAAATATACATGCATGCATATTACCTGCTCCAAATCCCACCAATCCACGAGCAACCAACATGTAGTATTTATTATGAGAAGCTGGAACCTGGACATATGCATAGAGGCAGTTGGCTGCCACCGAAATGAAAATGGAAACAGTAAGAGGCTCTTTTCTTGGTCGATAGTTAGACCACAAACCAAATATAGGTGAAGCTACCATTTGGCCAAGGCTGAAAGAAGCAATAACCCAGCCCAAAAAACTTGCATCGGCAGTCTGATCAATCTGCAGAAAAAAGTACAATGCTTTAAGAATTGTTATCCGAGAAAAGTAAAGTTAAAAATCCAAATACATTTTTTCTGACCATGTAACATTTCTTATTAAAAAAATAAAAACAATAATTCTAACACATAAGTTTTATAACACCATTACTTACAGTAAGGAATTCAAACTTCTGACATTACAATTAAATGTGTTAAAAATTCACTATACACAAGGAAAAATGTTTAGGAAACTTCATCTTTTAGAACAATTATAGAGATTCTGTCATAAAAATCTTGTTAAAAAAATCACATTATATACCTAATAATAACATCATAAAAATAATATGCCATTCTTTAATTCTTGTAAAGTAAATACAATTATTTACCTTATGCTACTCTATAAACTAAACAACCATTAGCACTGTGAATCTATTTTTTTTAACTGGGCACAATAATCAAATGTTTAAAGACAATAATAAAATTTCTCTCATTAAACCTACTACTAATTCTTCCTTTCAGCATAGACAATCCAGGATTCTACCAAAGAGGATTTATATATCATTAATACTGAGGTTAAAACCAAATGACTACAACTCAGAAAATACTTTCAGAAAACAGAAAATTTTAGCTTACAAAAGGGACTATGGAATAAATCAACAGATGGGGTTTTTAAAAATATGGTAGGTTATATAATAATTTGGAAAAATAAGAGCCATTAAATTTTAGGACATAAGTTTAAACATATATAGGTTAAGTGGTAGAACAACTTAATAAGGAAAACCATGGCCTTTTCTCTTCCAAAGATATTTTTAAAAAGCTTAAAATGAAGATATTTAGGTACATTTCTGTTTGTGTGGGATGAGAAATAAGAGTGAATAAGTATAATGACTTCATGTCATATAAATTTAAAAATTAATTTTCAAAAAAGCAATGAAAACAATTTTAATATTAAATGTCTAGTGGTTTGAAAGCAAAAGGATAAAAGTGTCTTCTCAGGATATCAATTGATCATAATAGTCAAGTGTCCGTTTCATGGACAGAAGTGAGCTGACTCTTGAAGATGGCTCTAACAATTTTAACATTTGCTATTTTTATTGGATACTGTTCTTTACAATGACTGGAAAACTGGAATCTGCTAGAATTCTGCTAGAATTGTAACAGGAAAGTAAAATGGTTTGGAAGATACAGGTTCTATACTACAACAGAAGGTATCAGTTCAGTAATTGAACTGTTATCTGTGCTCCTGTGTGTTTCTCTCTCTCTTATAGTAATAACAGCATGTTGTTTCCAATCCTCTGGCCATCTCTAACGATCTCTATCATATTGTTTTCAGGATAAAGTCTAAACTACTTATTATGTAAAACTAGCTCACAAGCTGGTCATTGTCTCTCTCTAACTTCATCTCTCTGCATGCTCCCTCCCCCCAGTTCTAACTTCCAGCCACACAGAACTTTTTGAAGTTTCCAAAATGAGTCAAGCTCTTTGTTTCCAGGCCTTTGCATAGGATCCTCAACTGCCCCTTCCATCAGGAAACTCCTACTCCGTGGCCCAGACTGCCCCTTCTGGTGACCAGTTTCTGTAGGCCTTCCAAACTCAGCTCAGATATAACTGCTTTTGGGAAATCTTCCAGGATCTCTTTAGACTGGATCAGCAACATCTCCCTAACCCCCATGTCTGTCTGTCTGTGTCAGTCTGTGTGTATGTCTCTCTCTCCCCCAGCCCCCACTCCTTCTGTCTCTCTCTGCCTCTCTGCCTCTCTCCCTCTCCCTCTAGCTCCCTCTCCCCTGTGAACACGCACACACACTCACACATCAAGCTCTTAAGACTTTTACCCACTCATATTGTATGGTAATTATCTGTAAACTTGTTTGGTTTTGCACAAACTTCAGTGAAAGTTAGATCCATCTCTTCTCTTTAAAAAAAAGCCCACAGTGCGTAGTACTGAATTTCAAAACATTCTTCTCTAAACATGTTAATGATATTGACAAAGTCAAAGTTCTAGAACTCGTAATGCTTCACTATGGGAGCTGAGATGTGTTCCAAGCCTCCTCAACTATTTACTTATAGATTATTGCTTATTCATCCAATTAACAGTCACTAAAGCCTTCTCTGCGACAAAACCTGTGCGAGGCTATATGAATACAAATTGAATAAACACAGTTCTTGCCATCAAGGAGTTTCCAAACCAGGTTCTACTTAACTGATTCTGAAAAATCCTACATTTTTGAGTAGCTGAGGAAAAAAAACAGCATGCTTTAATTCTTTATCTGTCAAATGGGGGTAACTTCACAGAGTTGTTATGAGAATTATTTAAGCCAAGACATGTATAGTGCCTAGGGTCATGTCTGCCTATAGTATGCACTAAATGAATGTTACCTATACATAAAAAATTAATATTTCTTGGTATTTTGTTTTTACTGATATGTCAGTTTTATTATTATATTTTATTGTAACATGCATGAGTAGTCCCACTATGTCCCTGGGCCTACAGATAACCTATCATTCCAATTCAAAATCTGGGTTTAAGAATATGAGTTTTCCTGGAAATCAATCACAACTCTGGGCAACACAGGCTACGGAATCACTGGGCTGATAGCTGTCTATCAGCCAAGGGCCAGAAGCACAAGTCAGCGATTCACAGCAGTGCCAAATTCCTTTCAGACAGATAACTTACTGTTTGGGGGTTTTAGAGGGGTGGTTGGGCCTAGCTTTTTATCTTTCTCACAGATGACTTTTAAGCTAAGTAATATTTGGTAACACATTATCGTAAAAGAGATAGTAGTCTTCAATTAAAAATGAAAATTTTGATAAACAGCAATGACCTACTGTATAGCACAGGGAACTATATTCAGTAGCTTGTAAAAACCTATAATGGAAACGAATCAGAAAAAGAATGTGTGTGTGTGTGTGTGTGTGTGTGTGTATAATTGAATCACTTTGCTATACACCTGAAACATTGTAAATCAACTATACTTCAATAAAATAAATAAACAAATAACATTTTAAAAAAAGAATGAAAAATCTTAAGACAGTAGGTAACATAGCACTGTAGAGTCAGATTTTGGTTTCAGATAGGCTTGATTCTACCATTTTCTAGCTGTGTGATCTTGGGCAAGCTACCTAACTGCTCTAGTCTGAGTTCCTTTATCTGTTAAACAGGAGTGATAATGACCACCTCACAGAGTTGTTATGAAGATTAAAAGATGATTTAGATGAAAGATTTAGTATTGTGCCTGGCACACAATGAGCTATATTATTATGAAATAACTTGAGAAAATTAACTCACAAGGTTTTTGGTGAAAATGTTATGCTTGTATTGCCAAAGAACTAGTGATATGTTCATGTGCCCTCAATAAATTTACCTTTGAAGAGATTACAAATATCTGGAGAAAGGAGTGTACCTTTTCAAAATTCAACTTATTATGCTGAGTAGACCTAATTTTGTAAATACCTTTCTTTTGAGAATTTTGAGGTTAAACAAACTAGATACAGGGACCATAGAAATCAAGAGTTTTTATACGTTGAAATACATATTTTAGCACAGAAGATATTGCTCCAGAATTGTTAAATATTCTGTTCCAATTCTAATAATTCTGCCAGTATGGAAAGAATTTTTAGTGTCATGAGTAATGACTTCATGTAAAATAAATTTTTAATTAGTTTAAATTAATTTTGAAAATGGCAGTGAAAATGTGGCACTAAATCACTAAAAAGTAAAATGTGTATTTTTTTCCTATATTTCTTTTAAAAGATAGCATAAGAAAATAGGATTTTTAAGTTAAAAATTATAAAAACTGGGCTTCCCTGGTGGCGCAGTGGTTGAGAGTCCGCCTGCCGATGCGGGGCACACGAGTTCTGTGCCCCGGTCCGGGAAGATCCCACATGCCGCGGAACAGCTGGGCCCATGAGCCATGGCCACTGAGCCTGCGCGTCCGGAGCCTGTGCTCCGCAACGGGAGACGCCACAACAGTTAGAGGCCCGCGTACCGCAAAAAAAAAAAAAGAAAAAGAAAAAAAAATTATAAAAACTAAAAAATCTAAAATGAAATATAAGATGTCAATAAATTTCTTATATAATAGGTATAATTTTTAAACGCTGTTACAACACTCAATGATAAGTATTAATGATAAAGGGATATGGAAGCACATAGGAAAACCTTCTAATGCAAACTGGGTTGAGGGACAGTAAGAAAAGGCTTTTCAGAGGAGGTGACATTGGATCAAAGCCTTGAAGAATTAATAAAAAATAGTGGAGAAGAAGGGGAGGAAGGGAATGGCAGAGGAAAGGAGAGATGGAGAGAAGGAAAGCACTCCAGAAAAAAAAGGAGGAAAAAGTGTAAAGATCTGAGGACCTTAGGTTCATCCAAGTACATGATATAATAAATTACTGGCTATAGATCTAATATTGGCCAAGGCTCAGTATCTAGGCTGAAACACACACACACACACACACACACACACACACTCTCTCTCTCTCTCTCTCTCTCTCTCTCTCTCTGTCTCTTTCTCTCTCTCTCTCTCTCCTCTGGAGAAAACCAAAATATAAGGGGCAAGTTGATAAAGAAAAATACACAAAATAATTTAAGAATAAAGAGTTAAGAGTAATGTCATGGAAGCTAAGAGAGTTTCAAGAAGCAAAGAGAGGACAACAATGTCAAACACTACCCAAATGTCACCTAAAGTAAGGACTGAAAAGTATCTACTATTTGGTGAGCGATTAAGTCATTGGAGACCTCATCAAGAGCAGTTGCAGGGTAGCAGAGGAGTTAATCAGATTGTAGCAGGTTAAGGAGTGAAGAGGAGTTAGGAAGCACAGAGGAACTCCTTCAAGAACCTTAACTGAAATATTATTATAGATTAATTATGTCTCTACCTTAAATACTGATTTTTAATAAATTCATTACTGGAATTTTAAGACAGAACTGACAGTTATATGTCAAATATATTTTTTAAAAAGGTAGAATTGACAGGACTTGATCATCAACTGATGATCAATTGATGTTAGAGTACCCACCAAACTTGCATCTTCTTGTCACTCCCTCCTTCCCATGTAGTAACCACAGCATCAAAACACATGTATTGTCTATTCTTTTCACAATGTCACCTGACAACCCAAATTATTCTATCAGAAAGCATCAAGTTATTCTATAGCAATATCATTTATACATTATAGGAATTCAGACTATGTCTAGCTTAGTTTCCTTTTTATTAGGGAAGGGGTATGGATGGAATGGGAAAGTGGCTAATAAGTAGGTGACCATACATCTACATTTGCCTGCAATTGTCTGGATATAATCCTGCTAAAGCAATCTTTTCACTCCAAGAGTGCTCTGGTTTGCACAATCAAGCATACAGTCACCTTACTTATAAGCCTCTTTTGAAGAATTATTATCTCAAGTTATTTTAGTAAAGATTAACTCTGAATACCAAAGAGATTCTCTAGAAACTACATAAGAGTTATTACTACTACAGCTACATAAGAGACGAATAAAGTGCACAAACCTTTTGGAGATATGGCCATATTGACATTAACACAATAGAAAATCCTGTGAAGAGGCAAATTCTGTTATTTATACTTATAATAATTTCATCACTATAGATACAAATTTTTGAACTATAGCATGGATTTTAAAACATCATTATGAATTTACAAATTTATAACCACAAATGTCTAATTTATTAAGCAATGGAGTTTTATTTATCAGAAGGAAAATAAATATTAAAGGCTGGAAAACATATATATAATTATAGTCCCTCACCACAATTAACATAATAAAAGCAGAGGACCTATTTCTCCTTATTCACGTGTCTTTACTGTAAATGAAAATTACTGGAACTTCCCTGGTGGCAGAGTGTTTAAGAATCTGCCTGCCAATGCAGGGGACACAGGTTCGAGTCCTGGTCTGGAAGGATCCCACATGCCGTGGAGCAACTAAGCCCGTGCGCCACAACTACTGAGCCTGCGCTCTAGAGCCCACGAGCCAAAACTACTGAAACCTGTGCACCTAGAGCCCATGCTCCGCAGCAAGAGAAGCCACTGCAATGAGAAGCCCGCGCACTGCAACGAAGAGTAGCCCCTGCTCACCGCAACTAGAGAAAGCCCATGCACAGAAACGAAGAACCAACGCAGCCAAAAATAAATAAATTTATTTTTTAAAAAAAGAAAAGAAAATTACTGAGAGTTTTGTTAAGTTTTTATAGCAGAAATGAATGGAGGTAAGGCTACTTTGTTATAGAGGAATTGCTAGACTTCTAATCTGTGTTGTTTGGGAGAGATAATTCACTGTAGGGAGGACTAAGAAGAAGGAAAATGATCTTTAAAGGGGGCAGTGGCTATAAAGAACCAGAATTTCTCAAGATGGGCATACCTTAAAAGAAATTTATCTCTGCTAGCTTTTATTGCTTGAGAACTGTAATGATAAACTCCAATGTTATTTGTAGATTTTAAATATTAGGCACATCCAAGCACAATTCTATCAAGGCTATTTTTAAAAAAGCAGCTCTATTAAGATATAATTCACAATGAATTCACCCATTTAAAGTGTACAATTCAATGGTTCTTAGCGTGCCAGATATGTGCAACCATGACTACAGTCAATTTTAGAATATTTTAGTCACCTCAAAAAGAAACCCTGGACCCTTTAGCTATACTCTTCTATCCTCTATCATTTCCCCAACAGCCCTAAGCAACCACTAATCTACTTTCTGTCTCTATAGATTTTCCTATTCTGGACTTTCACATGAATAGAACCACACAATACGTGGTCTTTTGTGTCTGGCTTCTTTCTTTGCATAATGCTTTCAAGGTTCATCTATGTTGTTGCACTATCAGTACTACATTCCTTTTTAAAAGTCTGTTTTAAAAAATAATTTAATTATTAGTTTCATCTTAGTGTATTTTGAATTAACACATTGACTTGATGAAAAGAATCAACTAATGTTTGAAAATAAGACTACTATCTCACAATCAAGAAACTTGTAAACAGGTAAAATGTTTCACATGCCAATTAAAATCTAAAGTTAAAAAATTTTTTGCTGTTAAATTTGAAATTATTACTTATATTTTAGATAAATGAGTACAAAAATTAGAAATGCTTTAAATAAAAAAACAATCTGTTGCAGAGATTGTTACCTACACAGCATTCATTTGCCCCCTTCCTCCTCTCTGATAGAATCCTGGTTGTATTGAGGTATCCATCACTCCTCCACAAAGCCACAGGCTTTAGAGGACACTGTGTCCACTCCAAATTCCAGAGGGTAGATCCTGATTAGATCTCACTATCCCAGCTGATGATGGGTTTAGAAATTAACAGGTAACCCAATTCTGACCAGTGAGAAATAAGGGGAGGTCTACTTTGGGACCTCCAAGAAAGGACTCCTCGTCTCTTTGGAGGTTTAAAAAATAAGTCCCTTTCAATCAATAAAAATTACTGTGGAAGGATGTGACACGTGGAACTGCTGCTGCATCCCTCCTATAGCCTAAGAATGAAGGCAGTATGTAGAAGAGAGCAAAACCAAAAAACTTATTCAGAAGCAGAGCCAGTGAACTTCACCTGGAGTTGTCCCACTATGGATATCTTATAAGAAAATACAAATTACTGTTCAAGCCAATTTGAATCAACATTTTTTCCTGATATTTGTGGAAAGCATAATAATAGATATACAATCCAAAAAACTGTTGAAAATATCCTTTATTTTGTACTTTTCTTTAGTTTTAGCTTTATTTAAAGTCTATTTTTGCTCAATATTGAATCATAAAGAAGACTGGCGAGAGAGAGAGAACAAGAGGGTGACCTGGGATAAATGGAAAGGATATGGAAAACAACTTAGTGAAATGACCTTCACTAAATCCATCTCAGGAAAGAAACCATTTGTAAAATTATTGCCTATGGACTTAGAGTCCACGATTGGAAAAAAAATTGATTCCCTAAAACATTCCTTTATAAACTATCACAGTGTTGAGAATTCCTATATATTTTCATTCCTTACCATTTTTAACATAATTACAGTTCTTAATATTAAAAATTTTTTTCCTCATAAAGGTTAACTTTTTCAGTAAATATATTTTCAGAAATAATGTTAATAGGTTAAAATAATCAAGCTATACAGATTAATATTCTTGGACTTTACTATTGGTATGTGTCAATATAAAAGTTAAATGAGGTTCACAGGCAACAAAAGTAAAAAGCAAATACATTAAACTACATCAAAATTTAAAACTTCTGTGAATAAAAGGGCACAATCAGCAGAGTGAATAAGAGTCACGGAATGGTTGAAAATATTTGCAAATCATATATCTGATCAGGGATTAATATTCAGAATATATAAAGAACTCCTACAACTCAACAACAAAAAACAACCTTATTTAAAAAATGGGCAAAGGACTTGAACAGACATTTCTTCAAAGAAAATATACAAATGGTCAACATGCATGTGAAAAGATGCCTAACGTGAGTAAGGAGAGTAAGTAAGTGAGTAAGGAGATACAAACCAAAGTCACAATAAGCTACTACCCGATTAGAATGACTAATGTCAAACAAACATAAAATAAGAGTTGGTGAGGATGTGGAAAAATCTGAACCCTGACTGTTGATTAGAATGTAAAATGCAGCAGCAGCTATGGAAAAAAGTATAGCAGTTCCTCAAAAAGTTAACAATAGAATTATCATATGATATAGCAATTCCACTTCTGGATATATACCCAAAAGAACTGAAAGCAGGATGTTAAAGAGATATTTGCACACCCATGTTCACAGCAGCTATTTGTAAGAAACAAGATATGGAATCAACCCAAATGTTCATCAACCGATAAATGGATAAACAAAATGTGGTATATACTGAAGGGGATCAGAACATTCTACCCCAAAATATGCTGCTTTGGCATATTGATTATTTTGAGCTGAAGGCAACTAACAAACAGCAGACACAGAAGGGCTTTCTGTCTTCCCCCTTTCTGCCTAAAAACTGGGCATAAATTTCCCCTGAGAAATGTGCTCTTCCAGTACCAGGAAGAAGAAAATATTCTTATCACTGCAGATGGAGCATCAATGCTGAGATGAGTCTGCACAAACAAACCTTACTCAAATAACCCTCATCCTCCATTAGTTTCCCCCATGTATTTCCTAGTCACTTTCCCACAATTTACCATCCCTAGAAAGCTAACCCCTTTTCTTTGTCTAGTCACCTCTCCACAATTAAAGACCCTTTTTAAAATAGTATATAAGTCCCTGAGTCTAACCCTTTCTTTGGGGTTTTCACTTTTCTATGAAGCCCCGTATCTCACATAAAAATATTAACATCAAATAAATTTTTATGCTTTTCTCCTGTTGATCTGCCTTTTGTCAGTTTAATTTGCAGGCCCCAAATTAAAAACCTTTCCTTTACTTTCTTAGCTATAAAACCTAAGAAAGTAAAGGAAAAGTTTTCCCTCTCCTACAATTTATACAACAGACTATTATTCAACCTTAAAAAGGAAGGAAATTCTGACACATGCTACAACATGGATGAACCTTGAGGACATTACGCTAAATGAAATAAACTAATCACAAAATTTAAAAAAAATAAATTACAAAAAAAAATCACAAAATTTAAAAAAAATAAATTAATCACAAAATTAAAAAATCACAAAATTAAAAATAAAAAAAAAGTATGATTTCATTTATATGAACTATCTAGAGTAGCCAAGTTCATAGAAACAGAAAGCAAAATGATGGTTAATGATGGTTGAGGGAAGGGGAAATGAGTTGTTGTTTAATGAGTATAGAGTTTCAATTTTGCAAGATAAAAAAGTTCTGGAGATTGGTTACACAACCATGTAGGGATATTTAACAACTCTGATCTTAGAAATGGTTAAGATGGTACATTTTATGTTATGTGGTTTTTACCATAATAAAAAAATAATTTTAATTAAATGACATTAAAATATATTTTATCTAAATTTTTAAAATTATGTATAATTTCAAATACTTACCTACACTGCTAAGAAACATAGTAAGATACAGAATCCTAATTGATCTCCATCGGCTCTTATAATGCTCCTCAGTTTCTATAATATCCCATTCTCTAGGTATAAAGAAGAAAAATGTAGTATAAAGTTATCTCAGTACATGCAAATCTTTCTGTGGCATAATTTTATTTTCTCTCTCCTAAAGTCATGAAAATTATATGACAGAGGTATAGTTTACTAATATTGGTTTTTACTATACTAATTCATCTATAAATAAGTATTATATCTTTTAATTTCCATGGATTATATTTATGGATCACTGTGCATAGGAAGTTGGGAGACATGAGGCAGCTTAAAAAGGCAAAACATTTTGTGAACCAATTATTTTGCTATTGTTGGCATGCTATAAACTTATGAATCAAGCATGTTTAAATTTGCTAAACTGACAAAATGAATAAAGTATATCCAAATAAATAAAATAAACTAGCTACAACCATTAGATCTCCTACAGGTGGGATATACAACTAGTAACTATTAAACGATAATAACTGTCATCATTATGACATGCTCTACTTGATGACAGCAAATTAACTTTGCTGTAGGAAGCTATTTTAGTTGGGTACTTTCAGCAAAATTAATATAAAAGTGACACCAGGAAGGTTTGATATGACCTAAGACATTCGTAGCCCTGGAACCTCCTGAAACATTTGCCTTTGCTCCAACACAGGTTACCAGACAAGCTCTGTTAGTGGACCAAAGAGAGACCAAGGCCCCTCCAGACTGGGTTGACCTTTCATTATCACTCTGGACCTGGATTAAGGGCAAGTATGTTAACCACGTAGCCTACCTGTCAGGTGATAACGTTAGCATGTGTACCCATTACATTTTCACATATGCACACAAAAAGAGTTAACAAATTTACCCTAATATAAGCATTATATGTTTTCAAATAATTAAAACAAGCACAACAGACAAAATGCCACCTTATGTTCCAAAATTATTTTCTAAAATAGACTTCGTACTGTTAGTCTTCAAAAAAGAAATTATGTTTTTTTTAAATGTGACATGACTGGGAATGTTAGAGAGGGAATGAAGAAGAGAAATAACATTTATTAGATCTATTATGTGCCAGATATATCAGTTTCTGATATAATATATATGAAGTGCTTAACACTGTATATGCTGTTCCACAAAAATACTGTAATGTCGCATACCTGAAAAATAGCAGAACCCCAGATGCTCGTATTTGCAAATCAATATATTGAAATTTGGAATACATAATGCAGATACAGGAAGTCCCCTACACACGAACCTTCAAGTTGCAAACTTTCAAAGATGCGAATATGCGTTCGCATGTCCAATCACATAAGTTAGTTCACGTGTCTGGCAAACATTGTCACGTGTGCATCCTCTAAAAGTGGTTGTGCTTTTGTGTACTTTACTGTACAGTACTGTATAGAGTACAGTAGAACAGTATCTTTATTTCAAGCCCAGGATGTCCAGAAGCAAGCGTAAAAGCAGCGGTGATGTGTCTGGTACCGCTAAGAAGTGCCAAGTGATAACGACAGAAACAGAAGTGAAAAGAATTGAGAGAGTGGAACGAGGCAAAAAGATGGTTGATGTCGCTCATTCTTATAACATGAATCGTTCAACCATCAGCACGATTCTAAGAACATGGACGAGATCATGGAATACATGAAGTCTGATGTGCCAATGATGTCGACAATAATATCAAAGAAGTGTGGAAAAATGACGGAGATGGAGAAAGTTCTCAGGGTGTAGATGCAGGATCAGTATCAGTGTTGAGTCCCACTCAGATTAATGCTGATTCAAGTGGAAGCCAAAAGACTTTATGAAGACTTGAAGAAGAAATACGGTGAAGAATCAAAGGGCGCATCTTTTAATGCCAGTCATGGCTGGTTTCATCAGTTCAATGCTACAGCCAACCTTGACAACGTAAAAGTAAGCGGCGAGGCAGCGAGTGCAGATACGGTAGCTGCCTGGGAATTTCCTGAAACGCTTTGAGAAATTATTGATGAAGGCACGTACTCACCCAAGCAGGTTTTTAATGTGAATGAGACAGGACTGTACTGGAAGAGGATGCCAGACCAAAGTTACATCAGTAAGGAGGAAAAGTCAATGGCAGGTTATAGAGCAGCAAAGGATAAGCTAACTCTGTTGTCTGGTGGCAATGCTTCCGGTGATATGAACCTGAAGCCTCTCTTAGTTTATCATTCAGAGAACCCAAGAGCCCTTAAAAATATAGCCAAGGGCTCTCTTCCTGTTGTGTGGAAGAGTAACCCCAAAGCCTGGGTTACACAGGCCATTTTCCAGGATTGGTTTTTCCACCACTTTATCCCGGAGGTAGAGAACTATTGCTTGGAACATTCTTTTGCTGCTTGATAATGCTCCAGACCACCCCCCATTCATGAGCGACTTTCATCCCAACATCAAAGTAGCGCATCTGCCACCAAGTACTATGTTCCTCATCCAACTTATGGACCAGGGAGCTACAGCCACTTTCAAGAAATATTATTCACGTTACACTTTTAGTCAGGCAGTAAAGGTGACTGATGAATCAGGAACAACCTTGCAACAGTTTTGGAAGGACTATGACATCTACAAGGCCACAAAAAACATTTACTGCTTGGCGTGAGGTTATGGCCACCACCATCAATGGGGTTTGGAAGAAACTTTGCCTGCAGTTTGTTCACGATTTTCATGGATTTGAGAAGGTGGATGAGGAGTCCAAAGAGGTCTTCAGCAACTTAGTGACCCTCAGCGAGAAGCCGGAGCTAGATCTGCAAGAGGATGACTTCATCGAACTCCTTGCTGTGCAACACGAGGAGCTAACTAATGAAGACCTGATGAAACTGGAGACCCAGAGAAAGGACGAAGAGAGACAAGAGGAAGGAGAAGTAACTGAAGAACCGAAGAGATTCACGTAACAGGAAATGGCAAGGGGATTCTCTTTATTTGAGGCGGAACTGTTAGCTTGTGAGGCACAGGGCCTGAACGTAGAACATTACATGAAGGTTGCAGCAGCCGTTCAGAATGCAATCCAGTGCTACCGTGTCATCCATGACGAGAAAAAAAGAGCTACTATCCGAACATCATTGGATCGTTTTTTTCAAGGGGGTAGATAGAATTGAATCCAGCAAGGAACCAGAACCTGTGCCAACAACGTCACGCATGAGTGAAACTGCAGCTTGCCCTCTGTCTCCTATTGCTGTCGATCCTTCAGCTCTGCCATCTCCTACCTCCTCTCCCTCCTCCAGTCATTAACTCTTCTGGCCTGTTCACTCGATGCCATTCCCTGTATGCCAGCTGTTGTACTGTACTACTGTACTTTTCAAGGTACTGTACTGTAAGATTAAAAATGTTGTATTTTTTTGTGTTTGTTTGTTTTTTATGTGTTATTTGTGTGAAAAGTATTATAAACCTATTACAGTACAGTACTACATAGCCGATTGTGTTATTGGGTACCTAGGGACTTACGAATGCGCTCTCAGAATGGAACTTGTTTGTATGTAGGGGACTTGCTATTATTACATATCAGCAAAAGGTATACACCATTCAATCCCACAGCACTGAATTCTTGTATCAGTTTAAAGTACTGGGTTACTATTATAGTTTTAATGAACTCATTATTATTTTCTGGAGATCAGAAATCTAACTGATAATCATGAATAAGAACTATCACTAAAATAAGCCTGAACATTTCCAAATAACCAATTTGCTCATATCTTATCTAAGTTATGGAACTAAGAGAAGTAAATAATTTGATTCTGAAAAAAAAATGTAATAAAATTGTTTGTTTGAGTGACTTTGACTTGAAGGTCAGTCAAAAATCTTTCTTCTTTTAATGACAGCTATTAAATATTGAAGGGATGATAGAAAATCACCATTTACTCTCCATGTAATAATGGATGAAAGCAAAGATCATCAGTGAATCCTAAAATAACTGGTCAAAAGTCCTCAAAGTATCACTCTTTTGTTGATCCACTAATCAGAAAATGGAAAATGAGCCTTTATAATTGAGAGATATAACAGTCACCCTCTTAACCAAGTAGTCAAGAGTGGCATCCCCGACAGTGGGATGGCCTGGCATCCAATGCTTCCTGACAGAATACACTGGGATGTTCTCAACATAAGCCATGGGATTTTCTTGCCAGAAATGTTTGACCAGGATCTACCCAGAAATGGTTCACAAATTCAGAACGTGAGATGTTCCAAAGAAAACAGAAAACTAATCTAGACTTATCAGAGAATTCAATGTTAGTAAGAACAAAAGAGAAGGTCAGGGGATAGTTTTAGGTTGGAGGAGTCTAAAAATACATAAGGATCAATGCTTGAACATTAATCAGATCCTGTTTAAAAAAGAATAGCTGTAGAGTACATTTTTGGAACAACTGGAAAAATATGAGTATAGTCTGTATAGTACACGATATTTTGAATTAGTAGTGTATTTCTAGCTCTGGTAACAGTGACATAGCTGTGTAAAAGAATGTCTATGTTTTGGGGAGATGGAGGCTGCAGACTAAAATGTTTAGGATAAAGTGCCATAGTGTCTGCAACCTACTTTTGGGTAGTCTGGCAAAAGAGGGGTGGTTGTGTGTGTGTATGTGTGTGTGTGTGTAGAAAGATTTGAGCAGTGTGGAAAAGGCTAACAATGACAGGGTAATCAGGTATTTATTGCACTGTTTTTTCAATTTTTCTATGGATTTAAAATGTTTCAAAATAAAAATTTTACTTTTCCATATTTTTTTAAATAAATTTATTTATCTATTCATGTATTTATTTATTTTTGGCTGTGTTGGGTCTTTGTTGCTGTGTGCGGGCTTTCTCTAGTTGCGGTGAGGGGGGGTTACTCTTTGTTGCAGTGCACGGGCTTCTCATTGTCATGGCTTCTCTTGTTTCGGAGCATGGGCTCTAGGCATGCAGGCTTCAGTAGTTGTGGCACATGGGCTCAGTAGTTTTGGCTTGCGGGCTCTAGAGCTCAGGCTCAGTAGTTGTGGCACACAGGCTTAGTTGCTCCACGGCATGTGGGATCTTCCCAGGCCAGGGATCGAACCTGTGGAGGCTTCCCTGGTGGTGCAGTGGTTAAGAATCCGCCTGCCAATGAAGGGGACACAGGTTCGATCCCTGGCTCGGGAAGATCCCACATGCCGTGGAGCAACCAAGCCCGTGCGCCACAACTACTGAGCCTGCATGCTGCAACTACTGAAGCCCACGTGCCTAGAGCCCATGCTCTACAACAAGAGAAGCCACTGCAATAAGAAGCCTGCACACTGCAATGAAGAGTAGCCCACGCTCTCCACAACTAGAGAAAGCCCATGCACAGCAATGAAGATCCAACGCAGCCAAAAAAAATAAAAATTAAAAAAAAAAGTATAACTTTGGTGAAGAAATGTATCTTTCTTCCTTGTTGGAGATAGTAGAAACATAGGAGAATATAACTGTCCTTCAATCAAGTTACCATTTTTATTACATTCCAATGTGATTTGTTTAACATTTTGATTCCTTTCTATTATCATTGCTGTATTCTGGTATTAGTTCTCCATTTGAGATTCTCCTTCAAGTAAAGTTGCAATGCTAAAGGGTTTTGTCCTGTCCAAAATCTTCATTACAAACTATACCTCAAATGATAGCATGGGGCTTCCCTGGTGGCGCAGTGGTTGAGAATCTGCCTGCTAATGCAGGGGACACGGGTTTGAGCCCTGGTCTGGGAAGATCCCACATGCCGCAGAGCAACTAGGCCCGTGAGCCACAACAACTGAGCCTGCGCGTCTGGAGCCTGTGCCCCGCAACAAGAGAGGCCGCGATAGTGAGAGGCCCGCGCACCACGATGAAGAGTGGCCCCCGCTTGCCACAACTAGAGAAAGCCCTCGCACAGAAACGAAGACCCAACACAGCCAAAAATAAAATAAATAAATAAATAATAATTTTTTAAAAAATGATAGCATGTTTATCAAAGTTGCGACTCAAAAACTATGAGGAATACACATGGATTTACTGAGGGGAAAAATAAAATTGTACTTTTACCAGAGAGAGCATCTGTGAACTACTGAACAGCAAAAAAGAACCCATATTGAAAGCGGAAAAAGAAAGCAGTGTGTGGTCACTGACAAAATAGTGTAATGGTATAAAAGTTATAGAAATTAAAAGACAAAAAAATTGAGAATGTTCTATAAAAGTATCTTGTATACAACCATAAGTTCTAGTAATATTTGTTTTACAGAGACTAGGCTAACGTTGCAAAGAAAAATTTTAAGCACCTATAATACTTTAGGATATTCTAAGAGAGGGATCAGCAAACTACAGTCTAATAGGCCAAATCTGGCCTACCACATGTTTTTGTGTAGCCCATGAGCTAAGAATGGTTTTTACAGTTGAATATTTGTGATCAATTTCATGACAGAAAACATTAACTTTGACAATAACATTGACAATGAACAATAACATTCATTATTAGACTTGTATTACAAAACATTGTACTCATTTATTATTACATTTTAAATTTCATTACTACAAAATTTTGTGGAAATTTATTTTCTTTCTTGTTATCTAAGTACCTATATAATAACTTTGATTTTGCCTCCTGGCCTGCAAAGCCTAAAATATTTACCATATGGGCCTTTACAGGAAAAGTCTGCCAACCCTGGTCTCTTAAATTCTATGGATAAGGTCAGTGGGGATTCCTGAGGACTTGATGAAAGGCTGAGGTTGGTGGTGAACTAGGCTCATCTTTTTGCAATTTACTCAAAGTGAACAGGGCTTGCCAGTTAGTTTTACATATGTTCCCTTTACTAGGGAATCTACGTTTTTAAAGACAGTACACTTATTGAATTATTCTCAAAATACTCCCTTTTTATTTTAAAAATACTAAATCTAGAAATTAAATTCAGATAGACAGAACATCTGAATTTAAATGGACCCTAATGACCATCAATTACTTGAACAAAAGAGAAAGAAAAAAAAAATCCCCTTTTAAAGTAGGTTTATTTGGACAAAGTGACAGAATGTACCATAAGAATACATCTAACCATAACTCAAGGATCCTGAAATCTACCTGGAAAACAACCAAGAATTAGGAGGAAGCAAAAACAATGCTGAAAAATCCAAAAATCACAAAGTCCATGTACTCAAGCTCATGCACTTGATTAATACGAGAGACCTTTAGCTTTCGGTCAGAGCTTCCATGTTCTAACTCCCTACAATTCTATTAAGCTTAGATACATGATTTTCAAAGCCACAGCAAACTAGAAGTCCCAAAGAAAAGTTGGGAGAAGTTTGCAGACAGCAACAAAAACAGAGGTTGCCAACAGATAACAAAAACATGATGAGGAATAGTCTGCCAGAAACAGAATAGGCTGAAAAATGAAAAATAGATGTGAAAAGTATAGCACTGTAGAACAAATCAGTATAGCAGCACATAGTCCCAAATGCCTTATTAGGCCCGGAGGATGTCACTCTATCACAATATATTTCAGCAGTGACATTCATTTTAATGATCTCAAGATAAAATGTAAACAAAATTACATTCCATATATTCCATTTAGTAAATCAGGGACCTGACAAATACATTTTCCAAAGGGTTTCAAACAAAGTGATTTTTAAAAAAGGTTTGGTGCTCATACACAGAAATAAACTCAAAGGATTAAGGACCTAAATGTAAGGTTGGATACTATTGTATAAAACTCTTAGAGGAAAATATAGGCAGAATACTCTCTGACATAAATCACAGCAAGATCTTTTTCTACCATCTCCTAGAGTAATGAAAATAAAAACAAAAATAAACAAATGAGACCTAATTAAACTTAAAAACTTTTGCACAACAAAAGAAACCATAAACAAAATGAAAAGACAGCCCTCAGAATGGGAGAAAATATTTGCAAACGAAGCATCTGACAAGGGAATAATCTCCAAAATATACCAACTGCACATGCAGCTCAATATCAAAAAACCCACAAACAACCCAATCAAAACCTGGGCAGAAGACCTAAACAGACATTTCTCCAAAGAAAACATACAGATGGCCAACAAATACATGAAAAGATGGTCAACATCATTAATTATTAGAGAAACTACAATGAGCTATCACCTCACACTGGTCAGAATGGCCATCAACAAAAATTCTACAAACGATAAATGCTGGAGAGAGTGTGGAGAAAAGAGAACCCTCCTACACGGTTGGTGGGAATGTAAATTGGTACAGCCATTATGGAGAACAGTATGGAGGTTCCTTAAAAAACTAAAAATAGAGCTACTACATGATCCAGCAATCCCACTCCTAGGCATACATCCAGAGAAAACCATAATTCGAAATGATGCATGCACTCCAATGTTCACTGCAGCACTATTTACAACAGCCAGGACATGGAAGCAACCTCAATGTCCATCGACAGAGAAATGGATAAAGAAGATGTGGAACATATATACAATGGAATATTACTCAGCCATAAAAAGAAGGAAACAGAACCACTTGCAGAGACGTGGACAGATCTAGAGATTGTCATACAGAGTGAAGTAAGTCAGAAAGAAAAAAACAAATATCATGATATCACTTATATGTGGAATCTAGAAAAATGGTAGAGATGAACTTATTTGCAAAGCAGAAATAGAGTCTCAGATATAGAGAACAAACTTATGGTTGGGGGGGCAGTGGGATGAATTGGGATGTTGGGACTGACATATCTCCACATATATACAGCTGTCACAGACAGCTGAAGTTTACCTGTGAATTTAGTTAATTTACTGTAATAATTATATATGTTTAAAATAATACTTAACTTCGTTTTCCTAAAGGTTTAAATACATAACAGCAGAGTAAGAAACAAACTCTAACAACTCCAGGTCAAAATAACCAGAATAATAAGGGTCAAAATACACTTCATCCCTTAAATGCTTAAAAATTAGTCTTTATACATTTGACATAGGAGAAAGGGGAGGTCATCTTAGGTTTACTTGCAAAAAAGTATCAAGAAGTTATCAGGCAATTAGTTAAGTGAATACTGAGACCGGTATCTTCAAGTCTCGAATAAAACTGTGTGAAACGTATAATCAGTTCTGTAAAGGGCCAAATGCAGAGGCTTGGTTGCTGCATCAGCGTTGGTGTAAAGATACAAGAGGCAGTTTGCGTTTCTTCAACACCTTCAACAGAACCCGCCGGCTCAAGGCGCCCCGCGGAAGTGAAAGCGCATCTCCAAGTCTCGCGCAACCTGCGCCGGCTCCCGCCACCCTGACACCCCTCCTTCGGCCCGCAAAGCCTGATGCAGGGAAAGGGACCAGTCCCAATAGCGCAGGAGGGTCAGAAGGCCTTCCTCCAACATCCGCTCACCTGCTTCCGGGTATGTTGTGGCCTAAGAGCGGCTCCTGCTCAGCCTCTACCCCCAAGCTCGCCATAATTACTGTTCCCACAAGGCTTGGGGCCAACTCTCGCGATACCTCCTGCTCCCTCCCATTCCAGGCGGCCTGAAGCTGTCAAAACAGGCCAGCAAGTGCGCGTGCACGCCCAGAGACCAGAGTGGGCGGAGCACCCCAGGTCAGAGGCGGGGGCCCCCGGGAGGAGGGGCGGTGCCGAGAGGATGATAAGTGTTAAGGGCGGGGCCCTAAGTCCTTATCCTCCTCCAGGGTACGGGCCTCTCCGCCTCCCGGAACAAGGCGCGGAAGAGCCGGGGAGGGTTCGGGGGCGTGTCCAAACAGCCACCCCGCCCAGGGTTCGTCCTCCTCCCCAGCTTCCCTGTCAGCTCGCCGTCGCTTCTCAGTTCCTGGAGAGGCTGCTGTAGCTGTGGTTGGGGCTCAGAAAGGAGACGAGTCCCGAGAGGCTAGAGAGCCGCGGTGTTCGGAGTCTCGGCCAGCTGGACAGCAGGCGCCCACCAAGCGGCCATTGAGTAAGTAGACGGTCCCAGCCGCGCTTCCCAAGCCTCTTGCCGCGCTTGCCTACGTGCCAGTAGGCAGGACTGAGAGCGCAAGGCTTGGCGGGAGATGCGGGGGTCCCGGGCCGAGTGAGGTGGGCAGGCGGGCTGTCCCTTCTCCCTGTGGAAGGTGGAGGTGGCTACGCGCTGTGGTTTTCTTGCTCGGCTAACTACAAAGGCACCTTACCCGTAGTGCCTTATTAGGACCTGGGATGAAGATGATCCTCAAATTCGAAGCCACCGCCGCCTGCGTGGACTGAGAGCTTCCGCCGTGCAAGATGCCACTCAGCAGAGCCTGCTGCTGTAACCTGGGGGTTAGAAAAGCCACAGCACCAGTTTGACAATGACCAGATCTTTTCATCACAAGGAAAATGACATTTTTAGAAAATATGTTCTGGGTTGTTTTTGTTTGTTTTCAGTAGATCTTGGTGCTGCTCCTTTCCTGGTGCTTACATATTAACGTCTTACCCCTACAAGCAGGCTTGTAAGCTAATTGGTAGCAGTAGTCATGTGTGTCACAATTACTGTTTTATTAGCACTAGATACATTCTTATGTAATTTCATTTGATCACAACTGTTCTATGACAGGTAAAGCAGACACGTTTCTATTTTACAGAGAACTAAGGCTTAGAAAAGTTAATAACTTACCCAGAATCACTCAGTGTGAAAGTATCAGAGTTGAGACTCAAATTCAGTTGTTTTCGATCAATATTTAGGAGCACTTATCCTATGCCAGGCACTATACTGGTTATGTGTTGTGTGGTATATGACATCACTCTGATCTTTGTCTTGTATGTGACCTTGTGTGTATCCTGTTTGACACATTCCACTGGTGAACAGCTAAACTTGAAATGTGTATTCTACTAGTTCAGAATTATCTTCTGAATCCAGACCTGACATTGTATACTTGGATTCAGTCTTGCAAATTTGTTTGTAACAGCTCACAAAAGCATATCAGATTCCTGTGATTGTTTCCAAGAAGGTACATGGGTAAAATTAGTATTTTTTTGTCATAATGTTGCTTTACTATATCTTCAGCTTCTTTTTAATCTCTGGAGCCTAGCACAGAGTATGGCATATATATATATATATGTATATTTGATAAAGGAACTTTTAACCAGTATTGTACCAAGCAGAATGGTTACTAAATAAATATATGTTGAATGAACACTTATTGAATTACCTCATTTCATCCCTACAACAATCCTCCGAGGTGGGATTGTCTCAAGCATACAAGGAAATTGAAAGTATGGAGATTAAGTAATTTGCCTAGGGTCACACCTCCAATTAGCAAGAGCTAGAATCCAAGAAACACAGGACTCCTGACTATAAAGCCTGTGCTTTTCACCACCAGCCTTCCTATGAAAAGAAGGTCAAGATTCTTTTCCCATATCTCTTAAAATATTTCAAAACAAGTAATCAATTTTTATATAAATGAAATAATTTGCTATTATGTATTAGGCCAGCTATTATTCCCTCTTTATAGTTTAAGGTGGCTTATTCAAGCCACCTTCACACTGCTAGTGAAGAACCCAGGTCTTCTGACACTGCTATTTTCCATTGTTGCCTCCAAGTGATGACTTCAGATGGCAGAAGTACATGGGATGAATGCATGTACAACTGGTGAAATCTAAATAAGCTCTGTGTATTGTACCAATAAAAAAAAAAGGAACAAATCATTTCTTAGAAACATACAACATCCACAGTAAACATTAAAAAAACTTTGTTTAAAAACCTAATTATTTCTTTTAAAGCCCATGGAAAAGAAGAACTAAATTTGAAAAGAGATTCGATTATTTGCTAAATGTTTCACATAAGCATATGATACAGTCCACCTGTTGTATTTCCTTAGATGACTGCTTAGAATAGAATAGACAGCTAGAATAGATACCTCTCCGAACAAATAAACAAAGTTCCTGTTTTCTTATTCTTCTCCAAATTAAGATGAAAAGGAATTAAATTTGTCGAGGTAGCGTAATAGATTTTAATAGTGGATATTGGTGTATCTAAACCCTACTGTAAGTTGCTACTTAAACTTGCATTGAAAATAAGTGATTTAAAAGTGAAGTTATAAGATAAAAATTAGGTCTGCATTTTTCTGGAGTAAAGTTCTTGTACATGGTGGTATTTTTTTTATTTCATATATGCCTTTGAGATATGTATCAACTATATGAGGATAAAAGTCCAGAAACAATTAGTGTTGCACTTAAATGCTTAAGTACTTGAGTGATAGGCAGTAAAAGTACTAGATGGCATAGACATTGAGTGTCATTTTAGCAATAGAGCTCATTTCCAAGAAAGACTTTTCATTCCTTGGCACTATACTAGAACTTCTATATTTGTTTCACTTTGTTTTTCTTTTTTGCATTGTCTATATAAAAGTATAGATGACAATTGTGTCAGCTTGGCTTGATACACACTGCAAAAGTGGGTCCTGTTTCTGCACAAGCTCATTGGTGTCAGTTCAGCTTAATGTGGGGACTTTAAAAAGTATCTGATGTGGCTCCAGATGGGGCCTCCTCTTGGTATATTGGAGTTATCTTTACCCTGGGCTTGGATTATAATCTGTTCATGGTGGCACTGGATAGCAGTTAGCCCTGCCTAGAAAGACCTACATGTTTAGAGCATCCCAGAAAACCTGGTATTTTATATCATTCTTGGGGCTGAAATGGGATTTAAGAAGATCTGTGTAACCCCAGACTCCCAGAACGAAGATTATCATTAGCCATGTGTGTGTTTGATTTGCTTTCTGTTCATGATTGGTCAGTTGTTTACTGTCAGGTAAATGTAGCAAGGAAAATGCTGGCTCTAGATTTGGAGTGCTGACTCTTATGGCCTATATTACATGAAATTAAAGTGATTCAGCATCTTTCCTAGTATAGGGTTGAAAATTAGAAATGCCTAAACAATTTAGGCACCTAATAAATATAGAACTTTACAAAATACTTGAAGAGTTCATTTTTCTCAGGTCTTTTCCTGTTCTCTGGCAACTTTGTACTTTTGCATGTTTGTCTTAGCTTGTTTATCTATTACCACTCCAGAAGAATACTGTGTAGAAAAATGGGTTGTCTCATGAATAGTTTAGTACTTTTCTTCTTACTGTAAAACATGAGTGTTGGAATTTTGTTGTTTTTTACACTAACATGGAATATGCATATTGCTTTTGAAGCCGTGGATGTTACAAGGGAAGATATTGCCCCCCCATTCTTTTCCTACCACTGTAGAGAAAATAAGTAGTCTATAATACTTGCAAAAGATAATGAAGTCCTGTCTTTTAATGACATGCCGTTGTTCTCCTGCAGTTTAATAAATGTACATGAAAATGTATCAGTGCTATTTTTTGAACAATTCCAGAAAGACCCAAGTGAAACAGGAGGGAAGGGGGCAGGGCACAACCTTTAAAAGAATGACAGAGCCTGAGGACATGACATAAACTGATTAGAACCAAATAGGTCCAAGATGGCAGACTAGTCGACTTCCGCTAGACCTTAAGCCTCAGGATACGCTCATTTTAACACATCATCAAGCTAAATGACACACCCACAGGCACCATGACAGTTCCAAGGCTGACCATAAAGGTCAAAAAGTAGGTGGTGGCCCACTTTCTGGAAATCCCCACCCCTTCCCCAAAATAGCTGGAATACTCCTCCCACTCACTAGCCTATGGAATTACCTACCCTTATAAAAACTGACAACCCCGTACCCTGGTGCCTTTCTCACCTTCTGAGATGGCCCACACTCTGTGGATTGTGTTTCTCTCTAAATAAATCCACTTTTTACCTTTCACTTTGTCTCTCCCTGAATTCTTTCTGCAATGAGACATCAAGAACCTGAGCTTCATTAAGTTCTGAGACCAGATGTGTGTGTGATCTCAGTTAAAAGACTGTGGGTTCGAGTCCCAGTCTGGGTTTTGGCTGGATTCAAGCCCTGGCCCATGGGTTCAAGTCCCAATCTGAGTTGCACAGTTTCACAAAGAGTAAAAAATTAAAATCATCATTCATCACTCGGAATTTTTTCCTTATGCTCTAGAAGCCCCCTGAATAGAGTTGCATATCTTAATATATAAAAAGAGTTGGTCTCTTATTTGAAATACAGAACACTAATTCAGAATTTTGCAATTTGGGTAAAGAATAAACTGTTCCATTTCTACCACAGCTGGGTATACTCACTTGAACTCTATTGAGTTAATCTATGGGTGATATTAATCACCCATAGATTAACACTACGGGAGTCAGTGCAGATCCCACCAGTTAAAGGTTCAGTTCTCCAGATGCCATTGCTTCTGATGCCAGCCAGACTTTTGACTGACTTGGCTACAGATTTGGGGCTTCCTGTAACCCCCTTGGATCAATAATTTGCTAGAACAACTCAGAAGAACTAAGTAGGGCTTCCCTGGTGGCGCAGTGGTTGAGAGTCCGCCTGCCAATGCAGCGGACACGGGTTCGTGCCCCGGTCCGGGAGGATCCCACATGCCGCGGAGCGGCTGGGCCCGTGAGCCCAGCGCGTCCGGAGCCTGTGCTCCGCGGCGGGAGAGGCCACATCAGTGAGGGGCCCGCGTACCGCAAAAA